GTGATGGAGCTAATGACGAAAAATTGGCCATCCGCAATCGGCTTATTTAGGTTGACAGCCGGATGGGAAGAGTCGCAGCAAACGACCCAATGCAAAAATAGCACGCATAATTTCGCCTCGTGTTTGCATAAAAGATAACTGATGACATTAAAAATGTGGGTATTTCATTGGTAAGGGACCACCAACGTTAAGCAGAGATCTGTATTCAACCAGGTTCTGTGCTGGCACAAAAAGTGTTCAGTCAAGTAGCGAGGTGCCATTTTAAACTGTTTTACTCCGGCACTAGCGCCTCTGAAACTTGGGCAATCTGATGGGGGCAACTGGCATTTTTGAAGACTTACTTCGAGTAGCTCTTCGGTACTCTGAAATACGGGGATGAAAGGAAGCCGCAGTGGTGTGTTTTGCAGGAAAGCAGAAACAGCACAGCAGTTCTCACCAAATGTGTTTTGCAGTGTGCGTAAATCCACCTTTTTTTCGAATTGGAAACTCAGAGAAAAGTAAACAATGGCGTTGACACCTACTGTCACAGTTCAAAAAATTCCTTTTCATTAAAACCCAAGGCTTAATTTTATTGTTTGCTTTAATTTTATCTTTTTAAATAAGTGTGAACATGCTGCTGACTAGGCACAGTGTTAATTTGTTTTGCCACAAAAAACGTCTAAATTTTCCCATGAAGAACCATATTTGGAACCTTTGTGGTAAACAACTCCTTACATGAGAGGCATTAGTTGCTGGCATTTGAATCAAATTACACCTTGCCATTAAGTTGGCTCCCTGCTTAGACAACTTTACAGCCAATTTCGAGCCTGAGTATTTTTCTAAAAAAAATACACGAAATGGTTTTTTGGACCTGGGGCTAAGACTACCCGCAATCTGACGCTGCTCAATTTAAAAGTACCATGAGTTTCTTTGCCAGGCGTGGTAGTTAATTTGCCGATGACGCAGTTCCATAAGGCCAAATTGAAGTGAGATCCGTGTTTTAAAAGAAAGACAATGTTTAATCAGCAGACCTGAATTTAGGCACAATAAATACACACAGTTAAAGCGTGCTAATGACTTATGAGGAGTAGCGATGGAAGTAAAATGCTTGTGTTATCGGGTATAAACGGAGCGTGTGCGAAGACTAGGTCCCTAGAAATGTCTTACCTTCGGCAACACGTCTGATGTTTAAGGAATACTAAGCGTGACACTAAGGTGCTTTTTTGGACAATATCAATACAGTGCAGAGAAGTCATTTGGTTAGTTTTCACTACTCCAGTAGTACACCGCAATAGTGGTGTGGCGCAATTGCCAAATTGTCGAGCAGCCGTCGGTTTATCAATAAATTTGGCCATCTGGGATCTTTCCTGGGGTAGAACACACAGTCTTGTACAATTTTCGGCGCACTCATTCCGTTGGTTTAGAAGTATTATGTTCTTAGCTGAGGTTAGTGGTTAAACTTGAACTACGCAAAGCCACGTGCACAGAAAACGCTACTCTGCCCTACCACGATTTGCTGCAAGTTTTTTAGGTGTTTTGCTAAGGTGTGCGGTCGTTCCTAACAGAAGTAGATTATGGTGAATTTGACGTGACCAGAACTTAAATCCTAGCGGATGAATTCGCCTCAAAAACACTTAATCTATTTCGAAGAACTGCACGCCGCAAATAATATAAGGGAAACACTGATTTATGAAAACCGCTATATGTAAACAGAACTGTTGTCGATTCGAAATGGAGCCAAGATTTTAGTGCAAATTTCATCTTATCTAAATATAATCAGGCCATTTCTAGGGGTTCGTTTCGGTGTCTAATTTTTGCAAGACTAAAGGAGCTATCAGCCACTTCTTGCGCTAAAAGCTCATCCTCCTTTGTGGGGCTGAATTCTATTACTTTTGATAATTTTGTATAAATTCGCGGTGCTTAAAGAGCATTAACAACCTTCAAGGAACTTAACAGGCCCTAATACATTTGAAAGATGACTTTACTTCGGGTGGCTCTATGTAGTAGACCACAGCACATCTTTCACTATGCAGAACCCTTCTTCATCTGTTTATCCAAGTGGTGGCCGTGTTCTTGATTGACGAGAACTTGATGCGTTGTTGAGTTAGTCAGTTTGTCCTATCAGGTTGTGTCTTAAACACCCCCAAATTAGAGCCCCCTTTCCGATTCACCTATTTATTTTTGTTGGTAAAAGCACATTATGTGACACGCTATGGTGATAGCAACTTCCACGTGTCTCCATTGTACGAAGACAGGACCTTTTTAACTAGTTTTTTTAGACTACCCGAATGAGCGTCCTCGCAACGCAGTTGTGTGAATAATCGACTAGCTAAAATAAGTGTTTCAAGCGTATCTTATTCAATATTCGTTAGCTGAATTACGGGTACGAGGACTACCTTCACTCTCTCGAGTCTTCCCTAACAACCAGGGAGACTCTTGCAGCAAATTTTACGAATTTTTTCGCTATTTTTTACAATAGTTAATTGCTTTGCATTCTCATCTCTGAAGTAGTTTTGATCGTCCATTAAACATTCCATTGAGGTTTACGCATCGCGCTTTAAATACGGCGTCTGTCTATTTATTTTTAGGATGCCAAGTCGAAAATTTCAGTTGCGTTTTGTTATTATCACAGGATTCACCAGTTAATCCAATAGCTGTTTTATCGTTCCAATGTTACTCCAGGGTTCAGTCAAGTTTTGACACGAAAGTATGAAGTAACTGGACTAACTTATGCTCCCTCAAAAGCACCCCCCCATTTTGGAGAATCAGAAATTAAACTAAAACTACGGTCCACGCAATTATGCCCTTTCAAACGGACGAATTTTAAGTGAAGGGTCAATTTAAACCCGCTGTGTATCCTTTTAGATCAAACAGCCAAGCATGATTGAGTTTATTGCTTAGCTCAAACCAACTCTCGCCTGTGTCTTGTCAATAATGCATTGCGCATTTGAACCCCCAACCAAACAGCCTTCACACCGTGTTTGTGCAAAGCGATTGCCAAAAAATTTGTGGAGTTACAGGGACATTTTTTTTCATGAAGTGGATGTTGTGCAGCGGCTTTAGTTGGTGCTGGCGTTCGTTTCAGCTATAACAAGCCTACCCGAATAAGCCAGGCTTAGAGATAGTGCATCTGGCCTCATTGTTTAGCCGTTCACCGCACATCGGCAAAGTACCCAGTCGTATGGGAAACTTGTTAATATAAAAAAAATGTCATTTTTTACGTATGTGCGCTGTCTGGCTGTAACTAAGGCAGTGGTGGATAGAGGTTCACAAGAATACACGAATGTTTGTTAAGCTATGCAACATCCAAAACCAATTACTGCGGTGCTAAGGTGCACGTGTGAAAATGTTTCTACATTTTGGCTGCTTTCATGAGGTAACTGGTAGGAAATTCCCGCGCCATGTTAGGACTGCATACGTCTAATTTATGCTAGCCAGAATCGCTTCCGTTGCGTAGACCACTTTTGCGCCCACAATAGACCACCAACAAACGACGTTTAACCAGAAATACTCGGAATACGATTACACCACCGGGCATTTTGTGAATTTTAACATCATAAAGGAAAGTAAGTTGTTGATTCATTTTCGCACAACTTTACCCACTGCAAAGTGCAAGTCGCATTTCAACGATGACTGGGTGAAAAGAATCTACGCACTCGTACGACAGTCGCCTTTAGTGTTGCCGTCTTTATGAACCCCTTCACTAAAACAATATTGTGGTCGTAATCCCGTGAATGTTTAATTTTAATGGCTGCAAAACCCAAAGTGTCGACCAATGATGCAGTAGGTTTGAACAAACGGTGCTGCAATTTTAATGCCAGAGATAAACCAGAATAAGGGATCATTTTATTGGCAGACAGAGCAAATTGAAGCCACGTACGAAGCTAGTTACCAGGAGGGTGATGGCCACAGGTGTTAGAACTAGACCAAACTCAAACTTACTGCGACACTACTGTCTTATTTCCTCCCTGTACTATCCTCTAATTTAGTCCACGCTCTTTGTTTAAGAATTTGCGTTAAAATCAACTCACGTCATGCCTAGAGGACCACACACCTTTACCATGTAGAGAAGGCTCCTTTTTGATAAGGCTATTAGCTCTTTAAAAAAAAACAACAAAGATTAAAATGAGATGCTGATGTAACTCAGAGCTTGTCGAATAACTGGCTGGATGGGTGGGATCGTTTTGTGCCAACATCCTCTCATAGAGGCATCAACAATACCAAACGGGCTTTGCAGAACCGGATTTCTGTGAATACCACTTTGTTTCATGGTGCGTTTCAATTCACCAGTTAAACTCATGTAAAATTTCAGCGTATGAGACAATGCCGGTTTCGGAGAAAATGCAGTGTCCTTTTTGTCCATTTTGATTTAGAGCTCTGCTGTTTAAACAAAAAGTGATTAGTAGATAGTTAGATTTACTTCGATAGGAGCACTTTGCGGGATTTGCAGGTCACCACTTTTGGCAAATATTTAGCAGCGTCTGTGGCAGTTTTCATGAATAAAACAATCATTCTATCCACCATTTCCATGCCACTTTGCTGGAAAATTTAACGTACAATTACCTGAACTCCTTTATAGAGTAACTGTCTCTGCATAAAGTTGGCGTCACAAAAATCGATTTTAATTGAGTCACGACCGATGATTGGATGCTATCTCACTTTGTTGCCTCAACATGTGCCAACTTAAGTGAGCAATTGTCTACCTCTTAAACGCCAGCTTCCGGTCCCTGTCTTTCGTTCTCCTTATCTCACCCCAGAAAGTAAATTTAACTGAACAAGACTCGACCTCAAACGGGAGCATTAATATGGACACCACTTGCTGCCCAGTATCCGTTGAAAATGCCCACTTTAGCAGAGGTAGAAAATAGAGCATCTGAAAAAAAGTTGATACATATATATTTACAAGACTGGTAGGAAAAGATATGGCATAGCGCGTGGCCGTGAGGAAAGCTGGTGGGGGGCAAGTGGAGGGAGCTGGTGCGTTTGGCAGCAAGGTCTCGTCAGCAAGTTGGCGGCTGTTTCTACAGCTCGCTGGCACAGTCAAAGTCCTTCTGAGTGATGGCCGTCAGGTTTTTCATCAAGCCTTCGAGGTTAGCCATCTCTTGCGACAGCTCTTCAGTGCTATAGACCCTCTGAAATGATTCGTAAACACACATGGATTAGTGGACAATTCAACAGTCTCAATTAAGTTCATCCCTTTCTACGTTATTCTTCGTTTTTAGTGTATTTGAGTTCAGTGCGTCCTCAAGATTGGGTTCTTATCGCAAGGATTTTTCCTCCTTACTCAATGCCAAAAAACCATTCCTCGGTTTTTAGCCCATGTTTCGAATGAATTGTAGCTCTATTGCTAGATTGCTTGGTGGGAATTAATGGATAAGGTTTGGTGCTCTGCGTTTTTTTTTCATTTCTTTTCTAGTCTTGAGGCACGTTGCATGTCCATTTGGTAGCCCATAACTATACGCCCACGTCTTCGTGAACGTAGGGCAGCAGAGGTCATTAAAAAGTGGCTAAGATGAGCCAGTGCCAGAGCTAATTCGCTTAATAATATCCAAATCACTTACAGAGAGGCTTCTGTCCTCGAGAGCAGAAACGAGAGGAATCGGTGACACCTTGTTTATGGAACTGAGTTTTATCGAGGTGTGGTTCTGGTAGCGTGAGCAGTCAAAATCGGACTTGTCTTCCGAGCTCCTGGTCGGTGCTGCTAAAAGAGCAATTTAAACCTCCTGACTTGCAAGTCTTCCTCGTCCGTTAAAGTAAATCTCCGTTTCACCCGGGCTTGTATTAGTTCTTTTACAAAATCAAGTGCTGCCAGACTCAGTTCTGCCGAAAAATAACTGATTGGCCTTCAAAAAACCTTGACAGCAAAAAGCTTTTTCACACATATTGCAGTAGATCACCCCTGGTTTAAGTGGTGTTGGTTGTTTTTGTTTACAAAACTTGCCTAGGTCTAAGTAACACCATAACTGGCTTGGCTAAATTTATTACACTTCTACAAGAGAAAACAAAATTCTAGCCATGATTTACAAACATAAACGCACACCAAAGCAGCTTGCCTTGGCGCAGGTATCAACAAATAGGCAAAGAGAGCCTTCGAGTTGAGTGCTAGTCTTATAACGAAAACTAACTTACTGAATTTCCGAGGAACAGTTTCATGTGCGAAGGGAGTTGCGTCGACACGCGCTCTTCCCACCGAGGACTCGCCGAGGGCCTTGTCGCTGGTGGAGGACTGGCCGGTGGTTGGCGCGGCGCTGTCGTAGCCGCTGCTGCCGGCCGTTGACCGCGAGGCCTCGGGCTCGGCCAGGGCGCTGGTGTCGAGGCGGCCGAGTTCGCGGTACGGCAGAAGACGGCCGGGCGACTTCGCGGCCAGCCCCTCCGGCGACCGATGGAACACCGACAGCGCGCCGTTAGTGAGGTTTTCCATCTTCGGAGGCAGGGCGATGGGATACGGGAGGTGTGTGGGCGAGCAGCCACGCACCCCTGCACCCCCTGACAGAGAAGTTGGGAAATTTCGATAGGAACTGGGCTCGCTGTCACCGCCAACTTCTCGTATGTCAGATGGGCCTAAGTTAAAGCACTTTAACTTCTTGACTGATTTGAGGCTTTCGTGAAAGCTTGGGAAATGACAAATGTGCTTTTGACAAGCAGAACTTCTGTAAATCATAGCTGTTTGACGACTGAAACTTTGCTAGGCAAAATATACTTTTTACACGAGAAATACACCTACAAAATCTGTGACATTCCAAATTAGGCAAACAACAGGGAAATTACTTCCCTAGTAAAAGAGGATTCTCATAGTGTTTGGGTGAGTGCTTTCGATCTGTGAATTCGACAGTTAAGCTTAGCCTCTTTCTAAAACTCAGCACACGGATTTTTCACTTCTCAAATCTCGTAGCCACCTCCTACCTTTGGAATTCATCGGCTCATTCAAAAGACAGGATTTATTTTGACTTTAGGTTGTTGTACTGGAGGGATTTAAACAACTGCTGTCAAGCTGAGCCACGTTAAAGATTGCGCCTTTCTTTCAGGCTGAATGAGTCTGCGACAATAAAATAAACCGCGGTTAATTGCCAACTCGGCGCCTTTATATCACTAGTTTTCGAGGTTTGACTGCTAGGTGCTTCAGGTGTGCAGTAACTACACTATAGGCGTTGGTCTCCTGTGTGGCCGTGAGTAAGGCGTTCCACAAAGGCCCACAAGGGTTGGCGGTGAGCCGGATGGAAGTTCAGGGAAAGAGAGGTGCCACCACATACCTATAAGACCAGCGTGTCCCAGAGGCAGAAGGCGATCCGTAGTTCCCACAGGCGGTGACCCAGTTCCACGTTGGCGGGGATTCAACTGGTGATGGTGGTAGGCGTGATAGGGGTAAGTGACGAGGTTAGCCGATTTCGCGCTCTCAAGGTCACTATCGATCGGCGTGGTTCTGCAGTCAGACTCAGAGCCGCCACGGCCAGGCGTCTGCATCAAGGCAGGCTGGCTGTGGATCGATCCGGGGCCGCCGCAGTTGCCGAACTGCGTCCCACCGTAATTGCTGACCGGCGGCAGCTGTGTGTAGGGGTAGTTATTGACGGCATCAAACCCGGCTGGCGCACCAATCAGACCGATGGCATTACCGAGGGGAAGGAATCGAGAATCGCCAAATTTTGACAAGCCGGCGCTGTGGCTGTCGTGGCTTGTCTGTGTCATCGGTGAATTAAGTTCTGCCTTCTCTGTCCGCCTGAAAAAATAACGTGAAAATTGTGCTTTCATAACAGTATTGACATTTCGAAGTTATTCCAGCTCTGGAGAAGGGCAGGATGTCCCGGAATCTAGTTTGGCTCAGATGCCAAAAAATCAATATCAGTTCGTCAAGTCCCTACCATTGAACCTGGCAACGATACGATGAAACCACTTCCCGTTAAAGAGCCAAGGAATGAATTAAATAATTGGGACAGAGTTTGACAACCTTGTGTTTGAGAAGATTCCGCTGTGTTATCGATCAAATTTCAGATAAACGCGACTTATCGGTGATCGTTTTCAAGCAACTTAGTGAGCTAGCATATAATTCCTAATACGTTGTCAATTAAAAAATCTGATTACCAACGTAGACAGCAAACTTGATTCACCCCCAAGTGGATTTATTTGTAATAGTTGCCATTCTACGTGACCAGTAGGCTCCAAGCCCTACCTGATTTCAAAAACACCTATCAAGACCAACATACCCTCTGGGCGATTCTGAGAAGAAGTCGTCTTTGACGCGATCAGGTTGGCCACGCGTGCATCGCCTAGTTAGTCCGATTGTAATTGCGATGATCACGATGATGGCTATAAGGACTGCGAGTGCGGCAGATACCATAATCCAGTAATTTGGACCCCCGTCATTGGTAGCATCGGTGGACATGGAGGTAAGCGCCCTGCCCACATCTGTTGTCTTCCGAATTTTGAGCAGCGCTTCTTGTTCCCCTATCAAGCGCTGAAGTTTGGCCGGAGACATGTTATGGACTTCATAGTGTTCACCGGGAAGGTTGAGGTTTATGAAACCGGAACCGTCAACTTAAGAGAAAAATTCATACATTGCTACTTAAAATATATAAGTAGTGTGTGTTTAACGTTTGTAAATTGAAGTCTGACCATTATGTAAGCACTGAGAGTCTGGAAGGATGTTTGAAATTCCACCGATCAAGTAAAGATATTTAAACAGATCTACATAAGTAGTGCCATAAATAACAGCACTTATTAGGATCGCATCGAGTGTTTTTCGAGGTCAGCAGCAGAGGATTCTAACGAAAAGTTCGAGGTGGAATTTAAGGCGAAAAAGACAAGTCTGCCATTTCATGCCGCGTTTTTGTTGCAATACTGAAAACATGACTGACGCAATGGCCTAAGACTTCACTGATGCGTTGTTGTTTTGAAGTTTATGGAAAAACTACTTTGAAAGCATTTTAATGTTAATCATTTGGGTTCCAAGTGTTTGGCTTCTTTTTGCAAATTCACGTACTTATTTCAAATTAGTAGAAGGGTTTTTTAGAAAATCGTAAATAGGCCAAGGCACCTGCGAACTCGCCGCGAAATGAAGATTATTTATGCAACTACGGCGAACAAAAGGCCGTCACCTTCAAGAAAACTACTTTATCTGTAAGCTTAGCTTTGGACCGTATTGTATATTAGTATACTGATGCTGAAACGACACGCATTCAGTGACAATAACCGAATTTTGGATAAAATGAATTACACTTGAATAAAGTTCAGTTTTCAAGGCTGTTGGAAATCGTCATTTTTGCAACTTAATTTATAATAAGGACAAAAAATGACGCTAATCTTATTATGTTTTTGTTTTGTCATCCCTTGGAATCAGCAAGTCAGTAGTGCCGGAAATAACATCCACCCGAACGACAGTCACCGCAGCAGCCAAGTCAACTTTCCGAAAAATTCACGAAACAGCAGAACACAGGGCTCTCCTGCAAAGCCACCTTCGCAGTTGTCAGACTTTTGAGCGAGTTCCTAATTCACGTGCCGCATTTATGACCTCACACCTCAAGTACAAGTCGTTAAGTTGAGATCTTAGCCATAAATTATTTCGGGGGAATATGGTCACACGTCGAACATAAAAAATGGCGCAATACGTGCGAAAACCGATTACATGAAAGCCAAAAGGTTCGTCTCTTACGTTTCGCGGATCCTTCCTAGTTTTTTTTCGATAGGAGCGGACCAAACGGGAACACAGTGTGGCTTCCAGCATGCATTTTTGTCAATATGGAAAGCATTACAACACGAAATACATGCACGCCAGGATACACAACTCTGCACAGATTGCGTGTCCAATAGGATGGGCGTAAGATAAGTTTCATTAGTGCAAGTGGACCATGCAATCCGGTTGGAGTGCCCGGAAAACGCTGCCCTTTAGACTGCGCCTGATCCACAGCAGAACTTTGCCACTGACTAACACCGCGACCTCCACCCTCCCCCCTCGCACATCACTAGGCGCCGTCGTTTTGTTTATATAACCGCGTCATTAGGGAATTCGGCCTGGTGACTACTTCCTGATGAGCCGTATCTCCCATGGTGCAACACAGAAACTGTGTGCAGACAGAGGCCAAAGAAAAATAACACAAGATGTGTGCGATTGCGAAAAGGCGATCAACTTACCTAATTTGACATGGATCTTGAGAAAACAACCGTTTTCACTTGATCCCCCCATAGCTCTGTGTGCTTAACAAAAATTCCGACATAGTTTTGTTTGTTGACGTAGCAGTTCAGATCATCTGGCCCAGTTACTTTGAGGTACCTTACGTAAAATTATCATCACAACAAAGATGGTATCAGGGTTCGAATCCTTATGTGGCAAAACCGACTTGCCAAATTGAGGTGTTGTGCTTTTTAACGCCATACGAGAACTGTGCTTCAGCCGCACTTGATCGTAATTTGATGTCTTTCCACTTTATCAGGATGGCATCTACCTCATCGCGTCGCAGTAGCCATCCGAACAGAGCTGAATGCTATCTCTTTTTGCATATAAATGGTTTCCCACATCTGTTGTCATGTCAACACGAATTTAGCCACTGTGCCGAAACCCCTGGAAGCATCAGCAGTCTGCGATGAGTAGTGGTGACAGACAAGCATTAATTACAACTATAAACCCTCGTGAGACAATGTAACCATCATCGGCATGAGTTGTCCCAAATCGTTTACCAAGAGAACGGCACAATGCCTGCTTCACGACGTGGTTTTTATGTCACTGCGTCTGGCCTGCTAGAGCCTGTTACTGGAGCACTTTACCTGCCCGCAGTACCACAGGCTCGGGGGGAAATCGCTTCCACGAATCATCCTCTGGGTACCGGAATAAAGGCCTGACAACAACACTCCCCCCCCACGTAGTGTACGTACCCCAGTCCCCTAACTAGACCTCCTCCAGCTCACATCACTGTCAATGTGTCATCCACAAGGCCTGCCACAACCACGGCAGTGTCTAACGCTGACGCTAGCACACACGCACGCACGCACGCAAAGCGACGAATACGGAAATCCCACAAATTGCACGTTATCTGGCACTTCTTAAAACACTAGGCGTGCACCAATGCAGGACCATCTTTCAACACGACCGGACCATCAGGGCTGCATTCTGGAGCAGACCTTGGGTGCTCGGCTGATTAGAGGCAGAGGCGCTGCCCATGAGCATTAGCGTCATTCTCACAACAACCAGAGCCGTGTTCGAAACCCGTGGTTCTATGCTGTGCATTCAAAAAACGTGTTAGAACATTAGAGCTACCCTACGACAGCAAATCCTTAGGCCATTTCTATAAAAAATGTGAAGCCCCAGGCCTTTCAGAATAATCTAATGTAATAACTTGATAGGATTTTAGGTACCTTCAAATTTGTTCTCTGTTGATAGAGAATGCTCTTAATAAGACATAGGCCACTACTACATAATCATGTATCACATGTCGCCGATTTTCTGCGTAGCATTCACTCTCTTTGGGCATGATTGTGTACTTCAAAATACGCTTGTCGGTGTTGTACGACTGCCATGCAGGTGTATTTGCGGGCTATGTGGACGATAATGGTTTAATGTATGGGCCGTTTTCCCTCAAAATCGCATTTAGCACATTTATTCGGAAGCATTTGTCTGCGTTTTGTGATTATGGCCAAGGGAAAGCCAAAATGACTTGCCTCCGGCTGTTTTGAAGGCGAAAACAGGCGACGGAGAGCTCGTTCCGTGGCGGTTGTGCGCGCTCATGATCAGGAAGTACGGCTGGTTGGTGCGTAGATTGTGAAGCACGGTGGAGTTTTGCTGTCCCGACACCGTGTGCTGACTCCACTGCCGACGGTTGGTTGTGAACACATCGGGAGTGAGGTAGATGTGGTAGAAGCCCCGTGGACTCGTTGTCCCCTTCCACGTTATCAAAATGCTCGCGGTCGGATTTACTGTTGAGTCCAACAAGTCGCCAAGGTAATTGGTCATTACAGAGCTCACCGTGATGTTCTGAGGTGGAGACTCTGGTTCTAAATTTAAGAATAAGTAGAAATGCGGTAAACTAGCATAGACTGAATGTAAGTTTTTTTTACTTCAAGACGTCTTCAAGTTTGCCTTATGTCATAATGAATAAGACGAATCAACGTAAAGAGATCAGTGGTGAGAAAATCGGTCATTTTTAGTTGTAACCAGAAAAGGCGTATTTAATCTTACTATATCGGGAAAGGATGCTAGAATGAGGACTTTTGCCCATGAAAGACGTGAACTTCTGCAGTAACACTGTGCTTGGTACATTTCTGCTGATTATGTTTCACACGGAAACCCCCGGCTTAAAAATCACTGGCATCTTTCCAATGGATGTGGAATTTAAGTCGTGTTTATAAGTTCCGCTTTTTGAGAATCGCGTCTAGTCTGTGATGTGGTATTGCCATAGATATGCTAAAATAGTCATTCAGATAAACAAGGAAATGTCCTATTTAGTAGTGCTTACCCATCAAAAAAATTAGCTTAATATTAAACCAGAATTAGGTAGGGGATTATATGTATCACCGAACAGTCTCGGCTGGTGGCTATGGGCCTCCATCAGCCTTAATTTTTATATGCTGTCGTGTGCAATGGGGCCTTGAGTGAACAAAATAAATTGGCGAAGCGTATCTGACTGTTCTGGCTGGTGTAAAGTGACGAAAAAAATCACACTGCAAAATGCATCAGACTTGCGGTGTCAGACTTTCAAAGGAAACCCGTGGATCGACGAAATTGGGTAGATGCGCATAAATATCAAGCACGCGAATTTCTGCTAGACATAACTACTTCAAAAAGCATCGCCTTCCAGTGTCTGAGGTCTCAAGTAAAAAGGAGTACGCGGATATAAACTAGTTACTTACGCTGTCCGAGGGTTTCGAAACCCTGTACCATGCTCCAGGCATCGGATGCTCCCTCCGCATCATAGAGTGGAGACATCGCGCGGACGGAAAATTCATACACGGTCTCGGGCTGTAGGTTTTTCAGCACAACACTAGTAGCGTCGGTTCCGGTAACATTGACTAACACAGGTGAAACGCTGATCGCATCGAATTCGGTAGACCCGTCGCCGCCAAAGACGTAGTCAGATGATGTGGTTGGATAGTAGCGGACCTGGAAACCCCAGATGTCCCTGCGGTTCGACTTTTGAAGTTTACGTTCGGCCAAGTAGTCATTGGGTAAATCCCACCGAAGTGTCGCTTCAGTCGAGGTTATCCTGTGGGCAGACAGGTTGACCGGAATCGGGTAACGTCTTGAGGGATCCACAACATCTAACCAACAGGAAAAAAACACGAAAGGCGTTAGGTAAATTAGCATCCACAAGGTAGGTCGGTGCGAGGTCAGTCACTAAAAGTGGGCCGTTTAAAATATCCCCTCTGTTTGGTGGGCCACGTTGAGAAAACACAAAATCACAAGACTGTCTAGCGGCAGACCAGAGGAAAAGATAAACGTATTACCCGAGATGTTGTCTTTTTCGTTTGGACAGGTACTTTGAGTGGATTTTTTATCTGCTTCCAGTGGCATGTCCCAATTTCACCATTACTTACTTATTTTTCACCATTAGTACCGGGAAAGTAAAAGATTTTTGTTCTTAAGGAAGACATTATGAGTGTCCGTTATCCGTGATTGTATTTTGCCATGAAATATTATCTGCAAGTCACACGACGACTCAAAATGGACGGCAGTACAAACCCACACAAATCAATGCTTTGGTGGACGCCAGTAAAGTCAGACTGTCTCACGCTTCCCACATGAGTTGAATATCACGGGAGCTGGACTAGATGATTAATCGCCCCATCACGACGGCACCATTTGTAAAGTGAAACGAACCCGACCAAGTTTAACTATTTTGATCCCAAACCTCTGGATTACTGCAAGCACTTGCTTGTAATTTGATGGCAACTGAAAGTGGCGAGGGAAGTTTGGATAGGAAGCTAAACAAACAAACACATTTTTAAAGCACTTTTAGCCGACCACATTGGTAATCTAGTTTGCTAGAGAGGATGGCCTGGCTTGACTAAGTTCACTGCAAAATCGCTACATGGACAATTAAGCTTAGTACGTGATTACGTGATTATGAAGTACCTTGAGACAGCCGAGAGCACTGAGTTGGGATAATTGCTGAGTTATTACTCAAGTCAACAACCACCCACACCTTTGTGGGATCCGTGATATCAGTAGTAATTTTTTCCAAATCCCAATTAACACTAGTCTCTTTACTGATGTCTTTAAAACTGTGTCTATGTATTCCACGGTTGTGAGGCGTTTTGTGAGTGAACTCACCCTGATGACGATGTTTTGGCCTTGCCACAGTGTATGCTGACGGTCCGTCTCCACCGGGTATGATAGCGATTATCCGAAAGTGATATGTTGTCCCGGCACCTAAAACGCAATGAAAGCGCACTTTAGAAGCAGCTACATTTCACAAGCTGCACTGCCAGTGCGTTTTCGCTTCTGCGTTTATGCATTATTGAGTCAAAGAAAGGGATGAATCATCAGGTATTTGCTTCGCTATTCCAGGCAGAATTCCCTGTAGTTAGGGAGTACTTAAATTCAAAGAGGTGATCTTGTCTTGTTTCAACGGTCAAAAAACGACCGTAGTAATTAATAATTAACTGTCGCAAGGGTTTTTGAAGGAAGTATCTTCTCGTAACACGTTCACGAGCGTCTTAGACACCAACGTGAAAATCTGATCTGTTTATTCAGCTGTCAGCTCCAATTTCCACCTCCCCATCGTGCATCTGACCTTTTCGCCATTCACGCTACGACACAGATGCCCTGCCACGAGGTTTCAGTTCCCCTCCACAACACGCAAACACAAACATGCCAGGAGGTGGCAGGGTTTGTGTTGCTAAAATAGCACAAGTGAAAGTTCAATTTCGCTAACCATCACCTTTAAGGACTAAATGCTACACTTACGGAGACCCTTGAGTGTGTAGGACTTGAAGCCACCACTGATCACCTCTTCGGCTGGTTCAGTGTCGTCCGCCCGCCAAATCAGCCGGAACATGACGTTGGGCGCGATGTCCAGTACACTTGCCTCGTTGTCGCTGTCGTCGGCCCAGCCTCGACTGTGTTCAAAAGACGTCGTGATCCGTCGTAGTCGTCGCCACTTAACTGTCCACGAGAGCTTAATTGCGTTCTTGAGTCCTTGTCCATGGAAATCAATTATCTAGCAGAAATCAACGATTATCAAGATTAGTTATTATGTCCATAGGAAATCCAACTTAGTTTCCAAGAAAAACCAGTACCTGTAGGGCCTAATGTTGGTTTTTGTTGCTAACTACGTGACCAAAGGCAAAGGCTAAATATCTAATAGCGCTATGAGGACACCAGAGTCCATCCTGTCAGGTAACAGAAAAATTTACTAGCGGATGGCTGAGAGTCGCAGCCTGAACCTACGAGAAAGCTTTTTTAAGTCACTCCATCCAGGGATTCATGTCCGTTCCAGAGCAAATTTCCGCATGCACAAGTTAGCCACCGAGCCAAAGGATTGGCTGCTTTTAAGGAAGCGTGTTTAAGGGACCAAATGCTGAGGTCGGAAGGGGTAGCGACGACTTAGTGGCCAAGACTTCAAACAGATTTCGCCCCGGTAGTTTTGCTCTTCCAGTAAATTAGCACGGACCTCACCATAATCTGAACAGGTTACGCGTGGTTTTGCAAAACATCACCTTGTGGAAATCAAGAATGAATTTGCGGTGCGCAAAACTCACAGTAAGGGTATGTGTGTTCATTTTTTTGTCTAAATTCATGGGAGGATTTAGCCACTGTGAACGGTGAAATGGAAATTCTGTTAGTATATATCTGGAGAGAATCAGTCTTGTCATCGACTTGCACCCTCAAGATTTCAGACAGGGTGCTGAGGCCTTTATTAATTAAAATTATTACCCAAAAATGCATAGGATACAAAAGTGGAGATGAACTAAAAATAATGTTCAATATCCGAGCAACGGTTGTCAAGAGCATCACAGCATAAATAGTAACTTCGATGACTATGAAATAACCGAACGACGGTACATCAACCGCTACCACTTAAGAAGATGTCTACACAGACAACAGCTTTCGCCTCAACAAAGATACCTCAATTTGTAATTAGCAGGGATAACTGAGCTCGGTGATCTGGTCCATTAATGTAATTTCATTCTACGTTTTTTTACTTGGACAAATCATGTGTACAATTTGAAAATTTTGCTTGCACGAAAGCTTTTCCACCTACTTTTTCCATTTGAACCGTTATCGAAGAATCAAGCAGTTCATTATGGAGAATAAAAGAGTAGAATAGTTTGGGTTGTGTACAAATACTCCAACTGATTCCAGTGAAAATTTATTTGCAAATTTGCATTTCTGTGTATTTTGTCAAGTCTCCATGATAATATACGTGGCTTGAAATCGTTTACGGAGATTTATGCTGAAAACACATATAATTGTCCTTGCTGCTCTCGTAAAAGAAGCTTGGTTGAATAAATCGGAATTTACAGAAACGTCAATTTATGTGAAATGACCATTTACAGCACTAATAACCAGTTGACAGAGCCAATTGCTGGACATTTTCCCCCTTATTCATGTCACAGAGATATCCACGCAGATAAAACCGGTCTCCGTCCCTTCACCATAGAAGTCAGTGATTTCGACGGTTTCTGAGGAGGTTCGCAAGATTCTTGCACGCAGTCGTGCTTAGGAGAATTGTTTTCTGTGGTGGCCTCCATAATAAGTTCCTTAAGTGGGAAACCCCCATTATTTCGTTTTTATTGCAGGAGAATATGAAAAGAAATGTGATTGAAAATTAAATTTTCCAAGATGCGACCCCGCAGTTCATTGGCGTGAACTTTAGGACACGTCACTTTTGCTGACTGGGAGTAAAATGTGCCAATTTGCTAGGTGGGTATTCTTTTTGCAAAATCCTGGCCCATAGAGGTCGAGGTGCAGCAGACGAATCCATTCAACTCGGCACAACTAGTCGCATCGACACGAGGGCACCGCTTGTGGAGCTTCCGGTGCATGCAGGAGAGTGGAGTTTGACTCAGACTTTGGTCAGCACTTTGTGACTTACACTGCATCAAGGAGGGCAACCAGCGGCCAGTTGGCTAATGGGCACAAAAGGTGCAGCAGAACTCTGGTAAATTGACTACAAACAGGATTAATGAAGCGAACAAAAGTAGTCTTTTTTGCGAGTTCCCATTCGGCAGTGACTAAGCTGCACAGCTTTTTGCCAATATGCATTTAGGTGACAGAACACGAGAACTAGCCCTATAATACACAGAAAATAGAAGCCTTATGCACAAATACTAAGCTGCAACTGTAGAGGTGGGCAAATCACACTGACTTCGAACTGCAAATTATGCTTACATTTTAAAATTTAGAAAATGTTAAGCGAGTTGCTACGCCTCGTTTCATTACTTTGCCCGCACTTTTGGTAGATCTTTTCTCAGAACCGGTACACCTCTGCAGATTGCACCCAAGATGCAAGCCATGATGTGAGTGGAAATCGCATATCGGGACCAAAGGTTGTTGTGATTCACTATAACCTGACTGACAGCAAACAGTGCTGGACCTTAATTCAGGTGAATCCATAGCTTCAAGATTTCAGGCACCTCAATTAATCCATCAATGGAAGATCTCTTGTACATTTATCCACGTCAATAGACAGCATGACCGAAATTGCATGGTTAGGTACACCACCTTGAGTGTCTCTCTGTAGTACGGGTGAACAGTACAGAACACGCACCTACCAGAAAGGAAAAGAGCAGGATGTGTCAGGAACATGGGTTTAAACACTTTCAGCATTAGAAAATGTCTGGCTGTTTGTCGTCAACAAATTAACCCTCCAGAGACCAATGAATTTATTACAAGGAGCGTGAATTTTGGGCATTTAAAAATGCGCCCTACACACCGGATGTAACCGGAACTCTTCCAAGGTCGAGTAACTGAAGTTGCATGTTCAAAGCATAAAAGAACTGCAATCTATGAATACGATGAAATACCCATGTACCTTGCACTACAACCAGAAAGTTAAATATTATCGTGTAACTAAGGGATCCAATGGAATTCTGCGAGAAAAAGAACTTTGTAAAGGAACGAGAGAAGATAACTCCCCCTAACTACTGTTTTAGGGTGCAAAAAGATTTCTGGTGCATTTTAGAATCACTAGCAACCATGAGGAAGGGTGAAATTGGCCTGACATAATCACTGTTAGACACATAATTCGAATTATTATGCAATAAACAAAGCAAGTTCTTTGGAGGGCTTGAATGTTGACAAAACAATTGGGTTAGAAATGCCAGCAGAAAACACCAAACGTAAAATCCTGTCACAAACGGGAAGTACCTACATTCACAAATCACGCTTTAGGACCTGCGACAGAGATATTTTCATTGTCAAACTGATTGGAAATCAAGCTAGTGTCCCAAAAAATTATACATATGAACTCTTTCATTTGCAACATTTTTTCGTGCTTCACTTCCTTCATTACTTCTTGTCTCCGTTTTCGAAAACTGTGTCAATTTTACACACCCTTGGCAAGAGAGGTCACTGCAGTTGTCACCTTTTCTCTAGAGAAAACGAATAAGGCTCACATTGGACATAGTGAAACCACTTTGGTGGATCAGTGACATTAAAATGCATAGCACCTACAACCTGCTAGCCAGCATGTCTGAGGAAGCACTCATATGCGAATGGGGGTTGGTGGTGCTGTTATTGCCGCGCCAATGGCTAATGAAAATTGATGGTCGCAGTAGTCGCACAGCAGGCAGGTAGTTGAGTAAAACCAATCAACGTTTTCGTCCGCGTGTGCAGCCGAGTCCACGGACAAAGAAAGCGGACAATGTCTAACGATTAGCTCAGAATAAGTAACTAAACGTAAAGCTTTTGGCCCGTAGTTTTTTAATTCAAAATCACCATTGATTTTATTTCCAGTTTTTTGCCAAAACACACACAAGATGATCACGAACATTGCTATTTATTTAGACTAAAACAAGTATTCATTGCTACTTTTGCTCTTCTAATTTATTCATTGCTCAATTCACTGTGGTCAGCGGAAGAACTGTGATGCGACCTCGGAAGGTGGCGAATAAGGACGCCGGGCTACCGAAAGATGTTCTATTTTAAGCTCTAACAGAACAGCAGTCAAGCACAGCTGAGTAAAATGCAAACAGAAGGTGATTTCTCCTCCGATTAGCTTCACACAAATTTAAACTGGCATTTTTGTCTTATTTACTAGCGTGTTTGGCATACAATGCATAATAGGGGCTCAAAAAAGGCTGAGCATCCACTTTTGCCACAAATCTCATAATGCTTCTCCATGAATTGACAACAAGTTGACGAAGGATTTACTTCTGACCAAAAAAAAAACAGTTGCCGCCCGAGGGCAAAAGGAAACTCTGATCCTGGATTTTGCTTTCGTGAATAATCACAATTCGACGCTGACCCCACATCTTTGGGTTCCCTGAAACGACTCCGAAATTCAGGTCATATCTAACACCGGTCTTATAAGTTGACAAAATATACTGCTCGTAGATTTAGAAAAAATAGAAGGTCACGCGACTCAAACTGGGCAGATGCCGAAGCCAAGATCTGTTTAATGATTGTTCCGAGGACAACCTACGCACTACCATCAGTGTTCGATGATGGATTTTTAATTCTTTTTTATCAAATATCACCTCGTGAACCGCTTTAACAAGTGTGTGTATGTGAATGATTTATAAATTAAGGAACTAAGATACCAAGCTGAGAAGGTTGAGCTACTGTTAAATCATAATGACATTTTGGTGGTTAGCGTTCAAAGATGACTGCAGCTCTTCTCCCTCGGCTGCCATGAAGGAGTAGTATAAAAACCACGATTAATCGAATTGAGGCTAAATCGTAAGTACACTATTGAGGTTAATTTTTGTTGAGATAGGTTTTTTTCAATAAAGGGCATCAACTCACTTTGTCTGGAACACGGTAGTTGATCTCTTTCTCATCGTCAAGGCCTCCTTGGAACGGGTCGGAAGTGGTAACGAAGGCCTCCATGTCAATTACCTGGGCTTCGCCCTTGGTTCGAAAGTGCACTGGCTGCGACCACTGACCTAGGCCGCCACGACTGCTTGCCAACATTCGAAGTGTGTAGTCAGTGCCCGGCATCAGTTCTAGGTGCAATTGAAAGCAATCCCAAGCTAACAAACCGAATTTGCTGGCTACCTTACTGACATTTTCAAGAGTAGACATATTCAACTGACGCCCTAAAAGACGCTCAACCTAGACGTGATGGTCACCATCACCCATAAAGGTATTTCTAGTCTTGAGATTAGCGTCTAGCGATCAATCCATGCGGTAAGAAAATGACAAGGCTGTAATGTACTTTTACCACCAATCAAGGCATGTCTAAAAATTACCGGAAAAATTTACTGGCATTATTCTTCTTGCCATGCCTAATTCAGCTCAAGAGTCGATTATCTGATTCATCATTGCATTTTCTTGGAACAAGTTTAAGCTTATTGTCGTTCCGTGCGGAGTTGACATTTAGAAAGGAGCTTGACAACGAACGGCTATCCTAGGGAAAAGTTAACAATTTCCTTCCTACCCTTCTTCACTTCTTTGAATGAATGACATTGCGCGGTGTCCGGTTGAAAAATGCAAACGGATAAAATGATAGATTACTGAAATGTCAGGGGAATTATTTTCTCTTCAAAGAGCGGCCGTAATGGAATTTCTCGAAATGCAATCACACTGCCAGTAAACACGATGTCGCAGGCTCTACTGTGTTTTCCTTAACGCCGACTGAAGAATTTAGTTAAAATTATGGCTTTCGAATAATGTTTAAATCGACAGTAGCACATAATATGGTCCGGTTTCATCTAAGAAGCGTTTGTGCTATAGACAACCAGCGATTAGAGAAAAAGAAATCTCGGGTAATGCAAAATAATTTCAGGCTATCAATATAAATGTAGCGACGCGCAAATTGCAACATTTTTAGCACGTAGGGGAAACCAGTTGCCGCAAGGCATCAAGAATCTGGTACATTGAAAAAAAGAGAAAAGCTATCTGTGTGAACTCCAACCATGAAGAAGACTAACTTACTCTGAAGCTATGTGAAAACCACTTCTTAAAGAAGACACGAGTTAGTCTGGGTTTACTAATTAGTGCTGAATCGGCACCAATTTGTCTGGCAAGCTGAAACGGGAATTCTTATTCTGAAATGGCCATCTCGCCAAATCAATCATTTGAATGTCTTCCCACAAAGGCTCTTGAATGGTCGCTTATCTGGGCCATCAACAGAATGAAGCCACACATAACTTTACATCTGTGAACTGAATACGGTTTGACAGAAACGAATTTATTGTGGTTAGGTTTGTGTGTGTGTGAGAGAGATTCCCTATTTAAAAGATAATACATGAGAATAACATACCTGTGAGACTGTGGTTATGTTGCTTCGCATCGGCGGTCATCAGCTGCGATGTTTCATAGGTGGAATTCAGTTCTATAATGAAGCCCATGATTTTGCCATTGCATTCGATATCACCTGGAAGACTCCAAGTGACCTCCGCCGAGTGACCATCCAGTACGCTGACGTAGATCTAATCCGAAAAACGCACTAATGAGGTCACAACTTCACGAAGCGTAATTCTCACCCTTCACGCTAAGATCGTCACATATACACGATGAAAACAAACTTGCATTTTTAGCCCTAATGCAAGTCCACAGGGCGGATTCAATTTCCTAAAACTCTTTACTGAATTAAAGCAAAGTTTTTTTTTAAAGTGAAGCCTCGCAGAAGAATTTTATGTAGGCCCGCGTTTCAAATTTCAAAGCTCCTTTTACAAATCGCGGGGTCAAGAACTATGGGCAGTCTGAAACTGGTGTAGATGCGTAAAATATTCTCCACAGATTACTAATACAAGTCGAAAGTGCCCTTACATTAGGGTAGCTCTCCTTATGTGTGCAAATTTAACTTGACAGTCAACGTTGGCCACGCGCATTACATCATAATTTCCTCCACTGCATTAAATTGAAAATCGCATGGCCTACTGCACCTCGACAGGCTCAACACCGTTTCGGGAAATTGACAGAGGCAGATACGGCCCATGTTAATGGGCAGACAATGTCCGCGTTTTCACCAGCATGTGGATTTCACTTAAAAGTTTACAAAGACCCTTTGCAGAGCCCTCTCCGAAAACTGTCACACAAGCAGTACCCTCTTTTCAGGCCCCTTAGTCACAGCCCTACTATTGAAGACAAGCCGGTTTTAAGTTTGAGTCACTCTTAACTATTTAAATGAGATAATTGAGAATTCAATTGCATTTGTTGCAGGGGTGTTCATGTAAAATGTCCCCGTGTTACCGCTATGTGGCGGTTCTCGTGGCCACCGCCAGTTACGACGCCTAATTGAACCGGATTCCTGACAGCAGACTTCTACCCAATTGAACACGTTTGCCTCCATTTTTAACCCCCATACATACACACGTAGATGTATCCAACTTATGTAAATGTCCACGCCGCCCGACCAACACTTGATAAAAGCCGACACGCAAGTCCACAAAAGACGTGACGCCTAGGTCTTTACCGTCTGGTGGGGGCGGGGACTGAGTCAGACGGCCTGGGGGTGGAGCCTGGCACTTTGGGTGAGCATAACACTCCCGGGTTTCCTACACAAAATGACGACAGAAATACCAACGGAACATACGTTCAGGGCACCGGAGCTGTTCAACCTTTCACATGATCAATATGGTCAATGCTATCCAGCCCGGCGATAGTTATTTCGGCTGTTATCCTATACATGAAGCTAGATTTGGCTACGTAGGCAAATCCTGTGGGCCGGTTCAGGGTGCTCTACATGGTCGGAACGATAAGGGACTATGCTGCTTGTTGAATAACACTCACTTGAACCCAGAACAACTTCGGTAAACGTAGAAACACTTGAAACATCTTGCCGGCCAATTCCACTATGATTACACATAAATACGCTCACTGACGTGAATTATCATCATTAGATTGCTCTAATGACATCAGCTTTTTGCGTCTTTTCAAGGAATGAGTGAGTGTGCAAAAGTCAAGCGTTCAATATGCCAAAGAATGACAGAGAGCATCTTACTGACCTTAATAAACTCGGGGAGAGATAAGAACAAGTGGGGAACTAAGCACTTGAGTCCTGCTTTAAAGTGTGCAGAAAAATCTGTTCATTCATGAAGCTGGAATCAGCACTGAACACTATGGTAACTGTTTGATTTAGTGACAAAATTGTGCCAGGGTGCAATACTCTTCCTTTTCGCCAGAGATAACCTGTAAATATTCCGTGATAGCATATTAAAAATTAATTATCTAAAGAAAGGTTGTCCTTATAAGGGATTGTGAGTGGGCGTCACATTGTGTTCAAAGGTCATGGATCAGATGTTCTAGGACATTGAACGCCTTGAAAACAAAACAGAAATGACCCAATTACAAATGCGCATGTACAAGATGACAAAACTGGTGCTTGCAGTGGTTATTCCAGTGTCGAATTATGGCCAAAATTACCAAAAAGCCGTGTCACTGCGTTTTAAAGTTGATTTGGTGCAAGTGAAGAATTTGGATCAGCCTAGTTTTGACAAGTGGGTATGCAAGCCTTAGAGTGACGTTAAGAGTTATAAAAAAAGTCTATTTTTGTGGGTCCGCCGATAAACTACCGTTGACATCTTCTCCATTTACCTCGCAGAACAAACTTGACTCAGACATCCAGAAAAAATTCATTAAATCAACTTACGCGAATTTCAGACCATAACGAAAATGCTGAATCGGATGATTGGGACCTCAGTTGATCACATTCAACCAGGTTCTTTCATGTCAAATGTCCTTTCACATGGTAATTGGGAGCTTGAATTTTTGCAAAGTACTTATTACGCGCCAGACTTGAAAGTTCCCAAAACACCAAACCAAATACCTGTTGTGGCCTGAAACCTTCTTTTGCACGTGTACTATTTAGTGAATGGACGTCATATGAACGCAGAAGGCGCCGGAAGACTCAGTAGACAGCAGTGACACCACGCGCGTCCCACAAAGTGTTGCATAAATCAACCATGTGACATTTCGTGGCTGGCGCCAGCGTCGAGGTGGGTGCTTGACGCGGTGTGATTCGATGCGGTTCTACCATAGCACCGAGGGAACCTCAGAGACACCACCACCACCATCACCACCGTTTCCTACCCGTTGCTTAGCTGAGTCACCAGTGCTTACGCGTGTCCAAACAATCCACTTCCCACAAAGCCATTTGTTCATCCAACGCTTGATCATAACCCCCGTCTGTTGTATGCGCATGGACGATTTTTAGTGACGCTCGACCATCACTCTGTGCTCAGACCTGGTTAGTCCAAAGTTTGCTGATTTCACTACCTTCAGTTGGTGAATGAAACTATACCTTAACAGGTTATGGGTGTTTGGCTGCCGATTGGTAATAAGCTGGCAAAGTGTATCAATTAAGGCTGAACAAATTACAGTGAACCTCACGTACGGATGGTTGTGCACAAGCTTTGGTCTCCATCAGTGCCACGGTGTACTAATCTCCATCTACTCCGCTCTACTATTCCACGATCTGACTCCCTCAAAACCGGTTTTATTACTTAGATGTTAGTTAATCAAATGCAAAGCTTTTGCATTTTTCCTCGAAATCCAGTGAGGGATAAGGATATCTGTAGCGAAATTCTTGAATATGGGCAATGTTTTTTTTGGTGCTTTTTGCTACAATGTGCAGAATCATTCCTCAATTGTTAATCCGGTGATGGCGTCCTCAAAAGGGGACAGAGGAACCGTTTTGCACGGACATGAGTCATGCAAATGAAGTATTAGAGCTACTTAACTTTAGCTCAAGTTGTGCTAAGGTATCGTTTAAGTAGGAGGTCTGAGTTTGGAAACTATCTCAGATTTGAAAGATTACTCGATTTATGAAAACTGCTATATCATGAGCGAATTGCCGTCGACTAGAATTAAGCATTAATTGTATAAACTGGTTTTACTAAGAAAGCAGCAAATCTCTGAACTCAACGTGACTTATCACTGCCATTGCATCATGGATTTCATCAAATGCTCGTACAATAACGAGAACAAATTCGTGGGTTGAACAAACGTTGAGTGGGGCCTTGTCCACAGGTTTTGACAATCAAATCTTTCGCGCATTACGACCACTGTGGTCTTTTTACTGCCTGTGAAAGCCGGCCAACAGACAAACCTCGGGTGCAGTTGTTGCTTGACTGTCGAATCAAACGAAACAAAGACGCCCAATTGCATTTGTAATCGTTCCGTTCTCGTTACCTATCATTAACTACACAAAATCCTTCTCTTCCATTGTTTTTTTATAATGAGATTACCAAAATTAACACAAACTGGTGTCGGAACCATCGTACCTCTTGGATGCGCGTGTCCAATTTCCAAAATCCTTGCTTCCTCAAGATAGGGTTACATTTACAAGAACGAAACATCTCTATAGGAAATCGGTTTGGTTTTCACTAGACGCCTTTGGAAAGAAACAGTTTGTGCTGGTTTCTTTTTAGGGGAAGTGGATGTTTGCTTAGTCCAGAATCAGGTGAAAAGCGTTTGAGTATTTTCGCCAGTCTTCGCACACGAAGAGTATTTTCACACACACAAACACACACACACACGAACGCCCCATTCAAACTCAACTGAGCCCGTCCTTTTTAGGCCGGAGATTCAAACAGTGTGACAAATGCACCAGATTGCGGTCTCGGCAGGGAGGGAGGGAGGGAGAGTTATCACGGCTGAGGCATCGTCGGCAGTAGTGCTTATTTTATGTTTTCTCACAACGAGAACATGGGTTTACGCATGAGGAGTCAAGACTTGACACTTGAGCTAATTCTATTTTGACGTAAGTTGAATTAAAAAACAATGCAGGCAACTTGGCGGGACTTAGATTAAGAAGAAAAAAGTCTTAAACGTTGATTTTGGTTACCTGAGTAGTTGGTAAGAGCAATTCAACGAACGCCTGCATTATTGCAACCAGAGGGGAATTCGTTGACAGACACTTGGCTGAATGCTAACTCAGTTGACAGATGATTTTGTTGTCTTAGTGCCCACCTCTTTAGTACAGTACTTCACGCTCCCATCCATTTGACTGTCCTCCGCATTTGCTAAATTTGGTGTCTTCAATTAACTGACCATCGTTCATTTGGGATGTTAAATTTGGCACAAGAGAACTATAACACCGACAGTTTTGGTCGTGTAGGGAAGTTTGTCGTTAAAACAAGTTTTATGTACAAATCGGCAAAGACATGACGTAAATTCGCACTAGACATTAAGTCATTCACCACTTGCGATGCGTTGACTGACTAAAACGGCCCCTACTATAGGATCGCGTTTCCAGCCTTGGGTGTAAGACGCACGTGCTTGCACCCGGGGGCAAGCCATAGTGACGGTCAAAGTACGTGCCGAAGAGCCGTAGTGAGGTAGCGCACCTGGCCAACAAGGTGTCAGCCTCGGCGACGCAGCCTCCTCGAGAGGTGGCCACCGCTTTCGATCGGGGAGGGGAGGCACATCGGCACACATACTAGGTGTTTTGCAAATGTTGCTTCAGGGGTGCATTCTGGCCAGTTTTAGGTCAAGGGGGCACGCCTTCCTACGTTGTTTACCTTCACCTCGTTTATTTAAATATATCTCGCAGAGGAATATTCCCTTCTTGAAATCGTGACGACGCCTGATTACGAACTGCTAGAAAAGTAATCCTTAGCTGTTCTCCACTAGACAATCGTGAAAAGTTGTCGACTGAGCTAATTGCGAAATATTTACGTCGAGACCATATGAATATATAGAATGGAGAGTACATAAAATGTTAGTGACAGGAGGCGATGATGGGAATACGAAATTGCTTAAACAGTGCTCAAATTCTTCGAAAATTTTCCCAAGAACCCTCGTTCTAGAATGCTTGCTATAAATCACGTTTGCTTCCTACTGCAAATTGAAACCTTCCACGGACTTGTCTGATGAGAACTCTTTTCCGTTAACGACATCACCGTGGGCCGGCAGTCCACCTCTTTTGAGATAGCGAAGTCGAAAACTACTTAAAAAGGGGGCGCAGTTAAACAGCCAAAAATCATGATTTGACTATTTTGCAAACTTTGTACTAGCTGTTTCGCCCAAAGTGAAGTTGAAAACTATTTAAAAAGTTGCTGTAATGCTCTTCCGGGGACAACAATTTTCAAATTTTGCGGTTGACCAAAATTCGCTTTTTGGGTTAGCATTCTATCTTTTGAGACGGTCAGACTTGGTTTCTTGTGCACAATTTAGTTTGGTGTTTGGGTTGTCTTATCAAAAAATAAAGCAAATTTAAGCGCATGGCTGTTTGGTTTGACTTGTTTCCACTTGACATACCTATAATATCTGGCGGGATACGTTTTGTTCAACACACAGTTTCAGTGCACACGATCAACGTGACGCAGCTAAAGAGACTCGGAATCTTCCTACACGCTCCAAGTCAGCCAGCTTTAATGGAATATGTACAACAGGAATTACGTAGCCAATGTTTTGTAATGGTTAAATGGCAACAATCGTCACGACTTGATTTTGTGCTTAAAAAGAAAGCCCCACTTTTGCAAGCCATCAATGGATCTTTTCTGAAACTGCTTGTGTGCCACACCGGTACTTGGCTTCCGAGTTGTGCAGATAATTAATCTGGGCGACTTAAAATTGCAAAGCTGATGCATTTGCGGACTGATTCGTTGAGATTGGGCAAGAGGACATGCCTTTTATGACAGCGCTCGCAATACAAACTTTTGCCTTTGTGCGTAAACGTGTTCACTTCGATGTGCAGGCGACGTGCGCCACCAGAGGCGGGGACTTTTGACAAGTCGGCCAATTTTTTTATGTGCTTTAATCTGGTTTTCCCCGGAAAACTCTCGGCAGCGGGTTCATTTAAACACATTCGTGCTTGTTCATTGTGTCATAGTTTAGGAAGTACCACCCTACATGGGTACTGGAGTTCAATGTTTCGAAAAGTATCTTTGATTCAAGCCTGCCAGAAATACAACAATTCAGCTAGGACATCAGGAGCCGATAGTACGAGACGCTGTGTTATGTAAGTGTGCGCTCATCTTTGGGTATAAAAATGCTGAGGGGTATGGGGCGTGACACCCACAGGACTTACTTCGGAAGGGGATCCTGAGGGGGGCGAAGCCGGAACTAGGGGGGATGACGGCAGAATGGTGGGCGGACTTCGGGTTCCATTTGCCAACAAGGCGTGGACCTCCACGCTATAGAATGTGTCGGGAATCATGTCAACGAAAGCATAGTGGTGCTTGCGGTGGTGGGTTTCTCGAGTAAAAACTGCCGATTCCTCATCAATACGGTCATAAGCTGAACATCTTCGCTTCCGGACCTCGTCCAGGTACGTGAGATTTCGAAGAATAACCCTAGAGGACACGTCTCGCTTAATTAACTCAACATATACAAATCATTAGAACCTCAGGTAGTTGGTCTATCTTTTATTAAAAACTACCCACGGATTACATATTCATAATACTTGTATACGCATGACCGTAATTAAGCATACGTTCAATTTTCCTTCGAAAAGGGCAATCATGGCGCAGAATGTTTGCACAGTCCCAGTCACGTTAAGGCCAATGCAAGTACATCGCGACCATAAACTTTAGGTGGCCACACCTCCACTAACGGGATCCACTGCTTTACACAAAGCAAACAGCTTTCCGTGTTTCTTGAAAGCACTTTCATGACCCCGAAACCGGTTAAGTGTGATTTTTAGGCATTACTAATGTGGGACAGTTTGCGCCCACGCGCACGCCACCCTAGCAGAAGAATTTACTTGTGATTAGATTTATAGGGCGCGTGTATCCTCCCGGTGTCTTCGGGGATCTCGTGGGCGAACACGCGCGTGCGCCCGTTTGTGTGTGTGTGTGCCCTCTGGGCGCCTACCAGTATTTTGACAAAACTTAATCGCCGACCCCATTTCACCCCGACACATGCGAGCCCCGCGCGCCCGTGCATGGGTCCAGAAGCTCGAAATGAGGCCAGACTCAAGTAGATACGATGTGAAGATAACGCCTCTGCGATGTTCGCGAAAGGGGCGTCGGAAGGTGAAGACATGGAGAGGGTGCCTTTCCCCATGCTATTTGGGATTCCACCAGCTTATTCAAATGCTGAATAGGGCCTCAAAAGTCCCCAAATAATTTCTAGGATACTACAAGGCACACGATGTTGCGTGCATTGGCTTAACAGTACATATGGGACAAACCATAGTTCCTCTAAATTTGGTCTTAGAATCCGGAATGGTAGCGACTTTCGATCGCCTGTTTACAGTGTAAAAGCAAATTCCACAGCCCGATCTTTTTCAAGTCTTAGACCAAACACTTGGCTATATTGATTGCATAATACAGCAAAACTCACTCATAGCCTCTGAGCAAGAGGGTCGAGGTGGGTGGTTCCCAGGAGATGTTCAGAGAGCCGAAATAGGTTGGAAAGACAACAAGATTTCTTGGAGAAGAGGGGTCTGTAAGGCATAGAATGCGGACTCAGCCTTTGTCCACCATGGGGCACCCTGTCACACACAAACCAATTGAAAAAAGCCTTACCTAGGCTCTCCTCAGTGTGCCGCTTGGCCTTGGTGGAGCCTAAGGATCTGGAAGGTGGAAGAAGCAATGAAGACCGAGGGTACATGCTTTATTCAAGAGGTAACAAGCACGGGGGCGCAGCTCGCACACCACAGCAACTAGCACGGGCCAGTAAAGGCGGTAGCACAAAGAGACAATAAAACTCCAAGTGGCAACCGTTACTCATCCTTGTGCAATTTAATAGTCCAACTCTCGATTAGAGTTTAGATAAATACCAGGTAAACCAATCAAGGAGGATACAGAACAAGGTTTAGTAAGATTTACTGAACTTGAGTCAGTGCGTGGAGCTTAGGTTAAGAACCAACATTTTGGATTTTCAAATTACTGCCGCCAACGCAGGTTGGAATACTGTGAAGTCTCAATTCGAGGTGTAGCCACAGCACCCTCACGCTAAACGCCGAGTTATCCAAATGTTTGAACAAGTAATCGTCCCTTGATCGAGGTTTCATGGGAGGCAGAAGCAAAATAGCTTGTACAACTTTACAGATCATGATGTTTTCGACAGTACTTTTATTTTAAGTAAAGTCAATTTCGGGCACTTTATTGACTCGCGCAACCACACAAGGAAAACTGCATTTTCGCCGCTAAAGTTGTTTTGAGAGAGCATAATCTCAACAAGTAGGCGTACAAAATTGCCACTTATCATTGCAGCAGGAGTGTGTTAGCACTTCTAACAAGCAAATAAACAATTGACTTGTGTACCTTGCTAACACTTTTCTATTCACTACTATTTTAAGTCAACCAACAAAACAAAAGATTGCCCCAACTCCAGGCCTAAAAAAAGTCAATTTGATCTACTTCTGCCGCATTTGACAACACTGAAAAAGGCTAAAAGCCTCTCAAAATTACCCGTCTGTAGCTGGAAGTACTGCAAACCTGGATCCCTGAACACGTACGCCGACAACTTTCGAGACCTGTGTGGTTGGAGGATGTTCTAAAATCAAAGGTGGTAAGCACTTGAGATCTGCGTACTGACAAGTTAAAGCACTTTAGATTTGCGCAACATGTCATGTTTCACTAATCCCGTTCCGAAAACCACATTAAATTGTACTCGAACAGAATCATATTATTTTTTTCGAAAAAGTAACTACAGCTTAGTCCTATTGAGTCAAATCGATTCTCACCTGCAACTAATTCTTATGTTCTCGCAGGTAGAACTATAACAGAACACAAAAGACCAACCAGGGCACCAGCAAGTGATCCCCCTAGTTACTATTTACGCGAATGGGCGGGTTATACTTCCTTCAATATCACCCGGTAATGATCCTCGCAGCACACCATTCAGAGTCTGGCCTTAATTTACGATGTTTTTCCATCCTTGACATTTGAAGTGTGTGTACTGCGATGTTCCTGCTATCGGCAAATAATGGACACATCAACTTCAGGGTGGTAAGACGTAGGTCAGGCAGAGGTCACAGCTGCCTAAGTTGACTGAAAGTTAACTTGGATTACGGCAGTCTGTGTGTGAAGATTCGACGACCACCTTCATTGGAAAGTTTATAAAGGAAGTTAGAAGCCGATGAGACACTGGCTTTTCTAAAAATCCATCTTCACTACTCATGTGCGCTTCACATCGGGTGTAGGTTGAAAAATTTGCACACGATTTGTGTGGATGTTGGTAATGCTGGCAGAGTTGGTTCTCGGATTTTGTAGGACTTAAGTCAAGTCTGATGGGAAGGTGGGATAACAGCTTGTATATGCACCATTTCAGAGTCCCAATCTCTTGGGAGTTTTCAGTAAAAAAATTAGCGGTTGCAGGAGGAGCACCCATCTCATCTATTCAAAGGGGAGACGCTGGTTGAGCATGTTATCTAAAACCAATTGCGCTGATACTGCAGAAATAAATTGCCTCTCACAATGGCGGTCAGTTATTTAAGCAGTAATTCTAAACATCTAGAGGCCCATTATTGCCTCACCCGGCATACCATTCAAGTACAAAAGGGCGCTTTTGCTGCGTGAAGTGGCAAGTGTCTGCGAATAATGTTTTGGTGAGATAAAGCCCTCAGTATGGGCACTACTTCAAGGGAATTATGGTATCCCAGTGGTATTTTTTGTTTCTAGATAAGACTGACCAATTTCTAAACCACTTTTACTGGTGTCCACTTATAAAAGGAAAAAGAAAAAGGAAATAAGAATGAGTAAATCGTTGCGAGGACAGTTAAGTGGTTTCTGTCTTTAGCCTAAAATGAAGTCTTGTGAGTAGGGTGTGTGCCTTATTCGATGGTAACTGCGATGTGGCCTAACAGAGGTTTGTGTATTCGGTTTCTCTCAAGTACGTAAAAATGCCATCATCTTGGAATTAGACAACTGGTAGGTTAGAATCAGGAAACAGTCATAGACACCCTTGTCAAACTTAATTTTACCGAATCTAAGTGCCGAAATGGGAAGTGGGCAAAACAAATCCAGAAGGACAATTCACAGCCAAAAAATTTTTTTAGGGCGTAGCACTGCTTTTGTGCAAGCGGCCGAGGTTGAAATAACAGTAGTCGTACACACATTGACCTTAAAGGGTTACTGCGTTGTTCCTTTCAACCGAAAGTCGACGGCACACTCGTTTAAATTGCGAAATCATTTTCGCAAATCACTTATTGACCCCATTTTCGACTATACAGTTAGGGAACCTGCCTCAAATTTTCATTCTTGTAAATAAAAAAGCTGAATTATACACCGACAACTTTTGTGCAAAAATGTGCTTTTTTTGATTCGCTTAATGCTGAACGAATAGTTGAAAAAAAAACAAATTCTTTGTATTTTTCAGATTTAGTCAACTTAGAAAAACCTTATCTGATTTACACAAAGCAGGTATGAATTTCCAGTCTTAGTAAGGTTTTGGATCAATTCTAAACGAGAAATTGGGTAATGGAGGAGGACAAACGTTTTTATTGGTATCAACTTAAAGAAGATTACAAATTTCACCAGGACTTAATGGGGGATTTAATTAAACGGAAAAGCAGACTCACCAGACAGTCCAAGCGAGCGATAGATCGGGGTAGAAAGTGCGAAAAAGAGACACAAAACAGCTCCACTCGTCGTTCGCATTTTTCAACGAGCCTTCCTCATTCGTTCGTCTGCCTGAAACATTAGGAGATGGAAGCATTTGACCGGTGCCTCAACCAATAACTGTGCAAAACAGAGGGCGTTGTGCTTGGGTAGGTGGGAAAATTGGTCTTCTGAGAGGTGTGTTTTTGTTCAGCAACCGTACCGCCTAGCGAAGGCAGCAGCATGATCGATTATGCTTGGTACATGAAAAAGCCTACGTTCTTGCAAGCAATCATCGAGAGGAGTTTTTGGAGAAAAGATTACGCTTGGTATCACAATGCACAAATAATTATGAAATTCGGACTGGGATTTGTGTGAGAATCGGCAAGTAAGTAGACTTGGAGTGCAGTTTTCCATAAACAAAGAATTAATGCAAGTCTCGATCCGCAAAATTCGAATCTCCTATTCTAGGCTCTTCTGTAGTGGTGACAGCACCTTTGACCAGGTTTACTTTACTGGCCGTAGTGCAATTAAGTAAAGTTTTTATCTTACTTCACCAACGTATTAAGCACCTGCCTTCGACTAATGGGTTGTGTGACACTTAGATGGATCAGCTATTGGCTTTGTGACGTATTTCTAAAATAACCCTGTCTGTTGAAGTAACTGCCTAACTCAGCTGGCATTTCACTTTGTTCACTAAATATCTATTAACTTCATTTAATATGGACAAAGCTTACCAGGTAAATCATTCTTTGTTTGTTCCTGAAGGTGGACATACTCTAATTAAAACAGTGAGTTAATATTCAGCTGTGTTTTATCTCAAAAGCCCGTAGGATACAAATGCAAAACTCTTCAGTATATGTTAGTGCGAAAGAATAAAATTGACAATAGTTTCGGTAAACTTCTCCCAATAAGGGAGCTGCTTGCTAAAACAAAACTATCATTAACAATCGATACAAAGAAGAGGTCACAAGTTGCAGCAAAAATGCCTTCATGACACACTGACATCTAGATAACCCTAAAGATCCGAAGGCCAGCTTAATGATTTATCAAAATCTTCTTTTGGGGAGGGGATCTGCTGAAATTGCCTTTCTGGACAAGATATGGACTCCGAAGGTCCTATAACTTGGTTGAACTAAGTGAGATCCTCTTAAAGGGGGAAGACGATCAGGGTCCAATGTTTATGAGGGCAATTTAATTGCGTGTAATGAGGCTCGTGTCATCCCCTGCTACAGATACTTGAGTGGATCCTGGATCAATAAACTCCCGGTCACGTAAAACCTAGCACAGAATACGAAAGAACATCTGGCCCTGGATTATACTTTAACTCCCCCTAGACCAATAAGGAGAAACACTGATGCACAGGAGTACTAAAAACTTTTTTGTCCTCCAGCCAAGTACACACAACAACGATATCTGCGTCAATTATTTGTGACATTCAGAAGAATGGTCAGTGTACGAGGAACAAAAAATCAACTGATAATAAGTTTGGGGCAAAGTGATCAAAAACAAAGTAACGTATGGTAATACGAGAAATCCCAAGCGCATTTCTCTAAAAATAATTTTGAAGTCCTTGTACTCTTAACTGAATTCGTGACTGACCATTGGCACATGTGGTTAATGAGTTCGAACCGTTAAACCCAGTAAATTAATCATAATAATGTTTTAAGCAAGCCCATATAGAAATAAACGAGTAAAGTTAAAAGCACGATACAAGTAGGCGCATTGGCAGAATGGGACAACATTTGTCTCGAACAAGTTCTAATGTTTCAATTCAGCAGATGCTAGTAATTAGTGTATTTATCTCAAGCATAGCAGATTTTTAGTGAAAAAGGGTTGATGGACAATCTTCCGAATCAAAACGAAGACGATTATTTTGTGTGAAAAAGGTAAGCCTTTTTTTATTTACCACCTCATAATGTCTATTAAAAACCGGTGGAATGTTTAGGTTCACTTTAAGATCTGTGAAATAATATATACCAAGTGGGTCAAAATACCTTAAATTCATTTATGCAAAAGTTAGCATTGTCAACAAAGAATAAAACCAGAAAATCCATACGAGCTTAAGGAGGCTTATGTGGCAAATGGAGACATACAAAATCTAGGCTGGAAAACTTGAAAGCAGGTTGGGTGTTGAAGAATATGTATTTCACCTTTGATGCTCAATAAGTCATGATGTTTAAAAATAATAAAACGTCCCATAGATTAAGCATAACGTAGATGTACTTAACCAGCGAGCGTACAATCTCATCTTCTAGTTTGACTCGAAGAATCGATTTGAAAAAAAAACGTCCACTAACCACAAAAATTATCGTGAGGTTTTCTGCTTTTTGTAGTCTACCCACCTTAATTTGCATTCATTTAAATATTCTTTTAGTAGGTCTTTAATTATGGACAAAAAAGTAAATGTGGACTATCAAGGGTCTAAGACAATGCCAAATCCCACGCTTGAAAGGCAAAAACCTTACAAAGCAGAATTGCAAAATAAATCAACTCCAATTTATTGCATGTAAATTCCTAGGAATATGGTTTGTGTTTTTATAAAGATACCATGCATGTCCAAAGCATTTATACGTAAGGTGATAGAAATTAAGGAACAGGATTTGTGAAATGAATAATTCAAAATTTGAGAAACCACTGCTTTTTGGTATTAAAAGGTAGCCAATAATACCAATTGTACACATTTCGTGTGCGTTTAAACAGGGTACACGCATTTTAAGGAAGTTAAAATCTGTAGTTATAGGATTGGCTACATTTTAAGCGTCTCAGAACAACTTTAATTCATATGTATTACAGCGGAGGAAAACATTATTTGTTAGTAATGATTACCCATTTTATTCTACATGACCATATTTCATAAAGGACGCAAATTTCTAGGCTGAGAATGGGATCAAAATCCAAGGACTCGCAGCAACAAAAGATCCAAACTGTACTACTAGTTTAAATGCATGCCAAACTAGACTTTAGACTTGAGCTGTATTTAACGGCAGAAACTTTCCAAAACACATAATGTGACAGAGCGGCAAGTTGCTTCCTTTATTTGTGCCAATTAATACACATTACAATATTCACAAACCACTTTAAATAATTTTAAATAAAATAAAGTCATCTGTAATAAAAATGTTTGATGAAATTAGTAAAACAGTAATTTACACGAAACAAACCTCAGTCAGGCGATAACGCGTTTGCAATTTTGAAGCTGAGCATCAGTCATTTCAAGGTCAAAAAGACCTGTTTTAAAAATTTAAATGAATATTTAAAAATCTGTATAAGTTAATGATTTTTTATCGAGCTAAAAAATATTATATTCTAAGGCAGCATTTTTAATTCTTTTGTGTGCTGTTTTGCATTAGACTTACTGATGTGGCAATTTGAATTTTAGAGATTTAATTAATATGACGAAACTTCATGGCTGAGATTGGTAATATATACCTAAAAACTATTAACAAGCATGAGGATTTTTAGACCAATTTTTTTGCTGTTAATTCTTAATGTTAATAATCAAAAGCCTTAGACATTGTCCATTTATACACCTGACAATTGCCTAAAAACGGAGGATAGTCTTATGCCCTGTTTAAAAGTCCTAGAGTCATCCAAGTGTTGATGATCCTGTCAGCAAATTTTAGTTGAGATGGTACGTAAAAAGAGATCATTTTTGTTGCAAGTACCAAATTAATGTTTTCTTAAACAGTAAATTACGAATTTCGATATTTCTTGATAATATACTTTATACATTACTTACCCATATTTATTCATTGCAAATGAATAAACCAGCTTTTACTGATAGTAAATTGCTCCATAAAGATTAAACTTTAAATTCAATCCTCGATGCTATGCAACTTTGGTATGAATCGCGTTGGTGCACACTCGTTAATCCAGTAACTTCACCAGGGAAGCGTAATCGGGCTAAACCCAACTCAGTGGCCCCGGCGTGGTTCAGGACCACATTCTGTGGCCCACAAAAACTTCCTGTCTAGTTTCTTTTCACACTGTGTGAAATAATTTTGCGTAATTGTTAGTCTAATCGCTTTTGAAGTTGAAATGAATAACTCTTGCTGCTGCTATAGGTAGCATTCGATCTCCTCTTCGTTTTTTACACTTGTCTTATTAAGGGCCAATTTGAAAAAATGCTGGTGAGTGGTTGTGTGGTTAATTAGTTAGAGTCTCAAAAAATAACTGGTAGTGATGAGACAAGGTGAAGTAATTTATGTATATGTAGATTAAGCTCATTTACGTCCTTTACCTTTGGGGACTCCGTTTTATTGACAAGATCTTTGGCCACTAATTATAACTGTGAAGGAGGTTCTCATGCATCTTTGGTCCTCGATTATCTAGTTCACCTCTCGGTAGGGTTATTTTTGAAGTTACTGGTAAATTCTGGATTATGGAATTCATACACTATGTTACAAATTGGTCATTGTAGTTTTACACATCACCCGCTTGTCAAAATTCCAGTTCTTCCTCTGGGCCTTTTCAAAATAAGATATAGGATGCCATTAGCCCAGTAGTACCTCGGAAATTAGGATTCACAAAGTTACTAAAATGATTGTAAATAATTTTAATTTGGCTCTATTCAAAATTGAGGAAAATCACAGTTGAATTGCTTGTGTCCTTAAGTCTAGTAGAAACGATGCTTCAAATAGCGACTCTACTTTGTGTTTTTTTTAATAAGAAAAAACGTGGAAGTTCATTGTAGTTATGGTGTTGATCCACCCTTTTCCCTTGAAAATTAAGCAGAGTACAGACGGCCTTCCTGAAAAAAAATTATTTTGGTCGAAATATTCGAAGGAATGCATTTAAAATATGCATAAATTCATTCATCTAAACACTTTTTGGTCCTAATGGTCATCAAAAGGATTTGTCTTCCGGTATTCTTTAGAGGCTGTACACCGTGAGTGAAAATGTCTTCAAGCAGTCTGAATACGAGCATAATTCAAAATTAGTAAGTGGTAATTAACCAGTATACGTGAGCGAAAACTCAGAAAACAAATATGACTGAGCAACCAAGATGGAAACGCACATAGTTCCTATTTTACTTAGGCTTAGTGCAGAAACAGGTAGATATGTTGTTGGCAAATTCAGCTCCAGCTGATTTAATCCATGTCTGAAGAAGTCACACATCTCCTAAGTAGATTTGTTGTTATAGTTACCTTAGTTTTCCTAGGACTTGTGCTTAAAATTTCATCGAAATTTAGCTCGATTCAAGAGGGAGTCTCAGCCTGAAAGCAACAAAAATGTGCCTATCGTTAAATGTGCGCAGCAAAATAGCAAAACCAATTTATTTGTGGCAGCAAAATGAGACTACGTGGATTAGTGATCGCTCTAGATCACATAAATCCTTCTCAAGTTCGTTTTCATGTGACTTAAGTAAGTTACGCTAAGCCCTAGCGTCCCTCCTCGCATTTGCTTCGAGCATCTTTGCGTAATGTATTAGAGAAATGTGATATTAATAAGACTCAGGTCACTGCTAGGACGACTAGCGCCTGTCGACTCACGAACCGACCCGGAAACATTTGCAAGTGAAATGCTAAAGGTTACGCCTATTCCTATTTCTCAACCTAGACCTAATTCTGCTGTATACTGAGTAATTTGAAATTCAACTTGTCGAAGTTTCTAGCACTGCTCCCCTAAGCTAAACACACAAGTGCCCTTGAGGGTACATAAAACGCACAAAACATCATCAGGCTTATACTTCACACCTCGTGAGAACAGAAAATGTGTACAATCAAAAAGGTGGCTCACAGTTTGAGGCAAGAGGCCGGTCAATTGCGCTAGCAATATTTACTTAAAAAGGCAAAGGTTGGGAGTGAGACGGGGATCTGGAAGAGGAAGTGGAAGAAAAGTTCATTAATTAGTTTTTTTGTGTTTTTTTCAGTAGTTTAAGTGATTTGTGTTGAGATGTCACTGTGCAATCCCATGTGTTGTCGCGGTCTACTGGAAGCAAACCTGGCCCAATCTGACGTCCATTTTGACCTCTGAGTCAGCAAAAGCTACATCACGGATGGGCAGGCGAGTTGGCGGTCCAGACGCATCGAGGACCATTTCTTTGGAAAGACCCGAGTTATTCTACAACGAGAGAAACACCTGACTGCCCAGTCGACAATGCCTGATGGTCCACGAGTTAGGCGGTCTGTGCGGCCATTGGCAAATGATGTCAACGCGCCTCGACGCCAGTTTACTCGCATTTAGTCTTTACGAAAATGCTTACATTTGCTAACAAATGAGGTGACCGCGCCGTTTTAAATACGCATTGCGAAATGCTCAACGCAGTTCATATTATGTAACACTGGGCACTCTGTCCCAACAGAACTAGCCGTATTGTGTTTTAAAAGGATACTCTGATGTGGTAAGTATTGGCGATTTTTCGTCAATGGACTAATTTTGTCCAATCAAAATTCTACCGATTGGGTCCATGACCTGTAGTCCGTTGTCGTGCGTTCTTCGCAAAGCAAGTCTAAGCTCTAAGAAGTCGAGGCACATGAACGAAAAACATTAAGACATCTTAGACCCCCATTCACTTTGCTCAGTTGATGAGATCACATCACGAATGTGAAAGCCTGCTTATTAAATGCCAGACGCCTGAACATCCGTTACGAGGAGAGCCTATTCTCTTATACTGTTTTACTATATTTGTTTGCGACACTATTGTACAATAAAATATTCTACGGGAACAACTTTGTTCTCGCAAGGTCATCATCCCTTGGAAATAAAAAAGACTCAGCCAATGCTTTAAGTGCCATACACCTTCCACATTTTTTTTGTGTTTAAAATGTCCCCGGCACTTCGTTCAGCGGACTACAAATGTAGTACTGTCCTGGACTATCGAAACTAGCTTGATGCTAGTACAAGCCGAGGTACCCCATGACAATGTCGTAAGCGACTTTGTCAGGTTACTCTATCGGCAGTAAGATATTTATGGCCTAAAGGTATGTAACAAACAAAAAGTTTCCCGGTAATTTTTGCCTACCTGACAGCTGTTTAGGATGATGTCAAATTTAGCGTGCGTGCTGGATGGGCTCAGTTCGATTTCGTTGTCGGCGTACAACTTGATGTCCTTAGGACATGAAACCGTCAGTGTCTGGTGCGCCGCTGAGCTTCTGGTTTTCAGCATGACCAGCTGAGTCCCCTCAACCTCGTAGAGGAATTTGTCGAAGTCGGCCACCTCGCCGAGCCAAGTGAAATCACTCTTCATCTTCCCAATATCGGCAGTATAGACCTCCTTCTTGGCGTCAATGCAGGTCTCCATATTCTTGAAGTTGCAGTATACTTGTATGGCGTCTTCTGGGCCACCACCGTTTGGATCTACCCAGTACATACCTAAAGTATATGTAAGGGGGTAATTTTGTTTATACTGAGAATAGCACTTTAATTTACCCCCTTGGATGTTTACTTAACGAAACAGTTGAATTTTCCATGGACTACGGACCTTTTTTTGGCAAACCTTATTTAAAAAAATGAATATCTTTGGGTAAACTTGGGAAGGCTAGACCCCTAAAAAAGTTTGTATATTGACATTTACCATCTTTGAGATTTGGCTGAGACTGTCCAAGATGCTTGCATGTGAGAGCGGGCACATCACGAGTTCCCAAAGGAGCTGAGACGGATTCAACACCAAACACCTGAGCGACAGCAGCCGCGTCGGAATACATGATGTTGCCTTTAGTGAGAGATGTCATCACGGGCATCTTGACGGCAGGTGGGCCAGGAGGACCTGGGGGACCAGGAGGCCCCATCGGACCAGGTGGTCCACGAGGGCCATCTCGACCAGTGGGTCCTTGAGGGCCTGGAAGACCAGGATCTCCACGGGGTCCCTTCGGACCTCGTTTCCCACGATGGCCAATGGGACCGGCCTCACCAGCTGGACCAGGGTTTCCAGGAGGACCCTCTTCACCAGGATCTCCACGTGGTCCATCTTCGCCTTGTTCACCAGGCAGACCTGGGGGTCCGGCCCAGCCCGGGTGACCCTGGGGTCCAGGAAGTCCGTCTGGTCCAGGCTCACCATCCTTTCCGTCGGCACCAGGTTCACCAGGTGGTCCCATTTGCCCTTGTTCTCCGGGGGCCCCGGGTTTGCCAGCACGTCCGCGAGCACCAGCAGGTCCTTGGCGTCCTGGAAGACCGATTGGACCTTCTAAGCCCATTGGACCTGGTTTGCCTTGAGCCCCTCGTGGACCACGAAAACCTGGAAAACCTTGGTCTCCCACTTCTCCGGGCTGACCCTCAGGTCCTGCGGGGCCGTCATCACCAATAGGGCCCTCTGGACCTTCTTCGCCTACCGGTCCCTTGCGACCCTGTGGACCGGGTGGACCTTGTGGACCCTGGTCACCAGTTGGCCCTTGAGGACCCTGTGGACCCGGAAGACCTTCAGGACCAGGTGGACCTTGGGCACCTGGACCACCGCTAGGTCCACGCATTCCCTGAAAACACAGTGCATTTTTTTAAACGTGAGATGCCATGCCAACAATATGCAGAAAATTAGAAACACAAAAAATGGCGTTGCCTGGCATGAAAAATTTTTGAGCCGGAAGGTAGCAAAGTCAAAGTACATGTTTTCTTTAACTAAATGTGTAAATTTAAAGTCTTTTTGCTTGCCATCCAAGTAGAAATTCAGATTGTGACATTAACAATTACTTGAAGACATGGTTAATAAGCAAATCAAAGAACAAAGGAAACAATGCGAAACCATGCTGTTAGCCTACTTGAGAACCCATAGGACCATCGCGACCAACGCCACCTTGTGGGCCCTTATCGCCCATGGGACCAGGTTCACCAGTTGGTCCCTGGTCGCCCTGAGCACCCTCACGGCCAGGAGCTCCGTCGCGTCCACGAAGACCGGTTGGTCCAGTACCACCTTTGTCTCCAGGTTCTCCAACTCTACCGGTGGCTCCAGGCTTTCCACTGGCACCGGGTTGGCCGCGTGGTCCAGGAAGGCCGTCAAGACCAGGAGCACCGCGGAGGCCTGGCTTACCAGGGAGACCGGGTTGACCGCTAGGACCAGATGCGCCACTGTGACCTGCTGGTCCAGGCAGCCCGGCGCTTCCTGCGAGGCCATCGTGGCCAGGGTTTCCAGGAGGGCCCTTGGGACCAGGTGGACCTCTTTTGCCCGATACGCCCGGAGGTCCAGCTGGACCCGGCTGCCCCTGAACTCCCTGCATTCCTGTGCGCCCCTTAGGACCCTCAGGTCCCTCTCCACCAGCTTCACCTGGTGGGCCAAGGTTTCCGACCGATCGGCCAATTACCCGGAGGAACCCCGCGGGTCCTGCTTTACCAGTCTCACCACGAGGTCCAGGTTCGCCATGCTTACCAGGACGACCACGAGCGCCCTGACGTCCACGGTCGCCTTTGTAACCACGAAGGCCGGGGGCTCCATCTTCACCTGGCAAACCTGGCAAACCCTAAAGGAAATGTAAGCAATCAATGTAGTGTTGCCGGTGGAACTAAATCTATGCAATTTGTTCCTTCACACTTACGGCAGCACCCATGACGCCCGCAGGGCCCATAGGGCCAGCATCACCCTTTTCACCTGGTGCACCTGGAGTACCAGGAGGCCCTTGTAGGCCGGGCTCACCACGATCTCCGGCTGGGCCAGGGCGGCCGCGTGGTCCAGGCGGCCCATCTTCAGCATCTTTTCCAGGCTCGCCATCACGTCCGTCATCACCAGGTTCTCCAGTACTACCACGAGGACCTCGGGGTCCAGCTGGTCCGTCAGGACCCATTGGTCCCTGGTCACCCTTAGGTCCCATGCGACCCGGCTTTCCACGTGGTCCAACAGGGCCGACTTCTCCTTGCATACCAACTGGACCGGAGGGTCCCTTGTCACCACGGTCTCCTTTTGGGCCAGATGGTCCATTGGGACCCGGAATTCCACGTTCGCCTTGTGGACCCTGCCAAAAGAAAAAAGTAACTTAATTCGTCACAAGTTGCTTCACCATACAGATCCATTGTCGATAGAGAGTTACGCAGTGAACTTTCATTAAACGAGCGTGAATGACGCGTATTAACGAGTTGATCGGATGTCGTTGACTGTCGATTACAGTTGACGTTCGAGATGCACTCACGTGCTGTGGTGTAAAAGACTTGGGTCGTCCAATGTGAAAAGCGTTGTATTTGTTCACCACTGTCTTGCCTTTCTTGGGTTGTTACTGGCTGTCGACTAACAGGGTTGCAAAGTAGTGCTAACGAAACCGCTACAGTAAGTTACTACTTTAGGTAAACGTAATAAATATGCTGCATGGCCTTCGTGTGATTTTGGCCAAATCTCTTTAGCGCATACATTTTGAGCAGTACAATTTCATAAGTTTATCGTTCCTCGATTTTATGACGTTCATCAGGTTGCATTCGAAGATAAACCAAGTTTTCACGTACGAAAGATACATTCAGCGCTTAAATATATGCGCATAATAGATAAATCTTTCGGCCCCTTGTCGGCAACGTTTACCCTAGCCATAAGCATTTTGAATAGTAAGTAAAAAAACTTGTGCAAGAATCTGGACAAGCTTACGGGAGAGCCTCTTGGGCCCTGTCCTCCAGCTGGACCAGACGCTCCAGGACGACCAGGCAAACCATCTTCACCAGGTTTGCCTGGTGGCCCGCGTGGACCTTGGGGACCCTGTGGTCCGGCAGCTCCCTCCTTTCCGTCAGCTCCAGGGTAACCGATGGGACCGGCTTTGCCGTCGGCTCCATCAGGCCCAGGAGGCCCGGTTTCACCGCGAGGACCTGTGCGACCACGGGGCCCCTGTCTGCCAGGCTGTCCAGGAATTCCCGGACGACCGTCACTGCCAGGCGTTCCAGGAGCTCCAGGGGCTCCAGAAGGACCCATTGCACCCTTTTGACCGGCGCGACCGCGCGGACCACGAGGTCCAGTTGGGCCCATCGGACCAGATGGACCTGAAGTTAAGCGTTGATGCCGAATTAGATGGCATTTCTTCTGGCAAGACCGAGGTCTCATTCTTGGTACGTTTTTTTACTTTTGACATAGCCTTATTGTAAGAAGAATAGCTTTCGCCTTTACAGCTTTTCTGGGAACGTACCAGTGGGACCTCTAGGTCCTATCGGTCCAGGAAGACCTTGCTGACCAGTTGGTCCAGGCGCACCAGCAGGTCCAGGAACTCCAACAGGGCCCTTCTGGCCCACTTCTCCAGTGGCTCCAGTAGGTCCTGGGGAACCGCGCGGGCCCTGGGGGCCGGGGGGTCCCGAAAGACCGCGGATTCCGGGCTCACCTTTTGGACCCTGAGCTCCGTCTCTACCAGACGGTCCCTAGATTAAATAATAAACACAAATTGCAGTTTTATAAAACACAATTATGTCTCGAATTAGAAGCTTGAAGTAGAATTGCTGCTTCCTTAAGATATTGACTTATTCAGGAGAAGTTCCAGGCGTAGATGCTTGCATCATCACCACTTATAATCACTTCAATCACTCATCATGTCGGTTTCGTGAAAGGCAATTTGGCATTTCAAAATACTAATCCAAACTTACTTGAAGACCCGGTGCACCGGGTTGACCGGGCTTTCCAGCGGCACCAGGCTGTCCCGGTGGACCGTCGGGGCCACGAGGACCAGGAGCACCATCTTCTCCAGCGGGGCCTGCGGGTCCAACTTCACCAGGCTGTCCAGGAACGCCTGCAGCACCAATAGGACCAGGTGGACCGACCATTCCATCAGCTCCATCAGGACCGCGAGGCCCCTGGGTTCCAGCTGGTCCTGTGGGACCTCGGGAACCCCTTGGGCCTGGTCGACCTACTGAGCCTTGGTGGCCGGCCTCTCCGCGCATGCCCTGAAGATATCAAGTCATCCATCAACAAATCGTGATCATTACAATAACGGCAAGGGAACAGTGTATGAAGGGACGGATAACACACCTCAGGTCCATCGCGCCCTTGATCACCACGTTCTCCCTTGGGTCCTTGTGGACCAACGGGCCCCTTGGCTCCAGGCGGTCCGGTGGGACCCATGGGCCCCGGAGGTCCCATCTCACCCTGTGGTCCAGGTAACCCAGGCTCTCCATCACGACCCATGCGTCCGTCGATACCAGCTGGACCGGGGGGTCCAGTTGGACCATCGGGGCCGTTGGATCCCGCACGACCAGGAGGACCTGCAGGACCTACGGGTCCCATTTCTCCGTCAGGACCTGGCGGTCCTGGGGGTCCCCGCTCGCCCTGAGGGCCTGCTTGTCCGATTCGGTAATTTGTCTCACCAAATGGAGCTGGACCCTTCACACTCTTGGATATAGGATAAAGGTGTTTTGTAAGAATGGCTCTGTCAAAAGCCATATCATATTTCGATGTCCGTGTTCAAACAATCCCATCACCGACTAGTCATCGTATTCTTAAGTGTATTCTCAAACCACTTTACGAAAAGATAAACATCTTCCTGATACTAATCTGCGATAATTGATGTGAAATGTTCATTCGCAGGAAATATTCCTAGCCGTTGAGGCTTTCTTTTATTAAAATGGGCTTAAATTCCAGTAAACTAATGAATTTGCTTGTGTTAACTCGAAGGAGCTTTTGCATTGAGCCATGCACCACTTTTGAGCTCTACGCGAGCGACAGAGCTAGAAGTTGACTGCAAAGACTGGTACAAGACATCACAAGTAGGTGTCTCTGTGACCAGAAAATGTTTAACTTACACTGCTACGAGGTGCAGCTTCATCTTGTCTTCGAATGCGAATCAATTCTTCGTCTGTAATGCAGTAAAAGAGTGCGTAAAAGTTCTAAAACATGTAGTTGGTAAACCACTACACCCCTCAGCTGAGATTAATAAGCCTTGAATATGCTCGGGTTCAAGCAACATACATGCAAACCCACAATGCATGCGTTGTCATTCTAGCTCCTGAGTACTTACCGCCATTCTGAAGTTAGCAAATAAAATCAAGTCATTAGGGTTTAAAACGATGACTTCGGCCTTCAAATAAGACAACAAGGACCCTCTTGTACACCTATGTAATTTTCTTCATCAATCTTTACACAGCCAAATTCATTATGGAATTAGATACCGTAATATCACCTATCCAGTATGCATTACGATGGTCGTAGTATACCTGCCTGGCTATATGGGGCGATGCGCCTAAATTACCCGCTGGTGCAAAAAATCGATATTTCCGATAAACTGCCATTGCAATTGGATCAATCAATTTTGGTAATAATTAGGGAAGCGTAACAAATCGTGGGAAACCCCAAACTTACATCATCAAGTTTCTTCAAGCGCCTAAGTGGCTCACCTAAAAGAAAGAAAAACAAGTGCTTTTAAACTTAACTCCAGGGCTTCATTCAAAAGATAATTCTGTGTTATTTGCAGATTATGTTGTTGAAATTGTCAAGACAACGACCATAGAACTTGCCAGAGGACCCAATAAAATGTAATGGTCCAGGTCATTACTCAAATTGTTAAAAAAAAGACTTACAAGAAGTGAATCTGGTTAATCCACGACCGTCGCCACGGTTCACGCATGACTGATCACCGTGATATTCAATCCCCGGCCACCTAACTCTACTCCCGCCACTCACCCTTGGTTCCCTTCTATCCCTCACTCCCACCCACAACTTATGTAAACTGTTGTGTGGCAGAGACCTCGGGTATTCACGTTCTTAAATTATAAATTCGCGTAAACAGTCGCTGCTCAACACACCCAGATTCAGTGACCCTGTGAACGTGACCTTTGAGCATCTCATTCTTATCGAATCGGGGCCTTCAACAAAGAAGACGTCACTTCAAATGTCATGCCAAATGGAAGGGAGCGTGTGCATGTACTAGATATCATTGGATTCTTATCCCTATCCGGACGATCTTGGGAAGATTAGACTACCTGACGATTCAGCTGTCGTTCAGGAACCCTTCAGAAACAAATCACCGAAGTTCTCTAACTTGTCAGAGACTGGATTAGCAATCAACGCGTTCAAAAGCAAATTGGGTTTGATTAATAACGATGACACTAAGGGCATTACTAACTGACATTTCATTTATTCTTTTGTTCAAATCACTTTTACATTGGCATGGCAAACTAACTGAAACTCGAAAGTTTGTATTTGCCAAAATACTTCAAAATAAGTGAAACAGGCGTCGACCAAATGAGGTCGATAACCTGCTAAGCCCTTAGGGAAAGATCATTCCTTCACACATGGACATAAGGTCCAATCGTAAAGCAGCATGAATGCAAAATATAACTGGCTGATGAGTATTGGAGCTAGCAAAACTCTCAAGTTACCAGTCTCCTAATTAATCGTAGGTTAATTTCCAGATTGTCTGGTTGTTAATGAAATAGTCCCTTAAACTGGTGATTAAAATTGACTTTCCAAGTTTTTTTAAACATTCAACCCAGAGACGAGGTAAATTACAGCTTCTTAGTAACGTGAAATATTTTGGCAAGATTTTGTAAAGAATTCCGAGTGTAATACACTCTCCGTAGTTGGGCATGCAGCCGGAAATGCGATTTTGTCATGTTTACATGGAACCAGTTTTTCCAGTAATAAAAGTTTCCCACATGGCCTGCTGTCATAACAGTATGAGGAAGAGATTTAAAAAAAGAGGGGACTTACCGAATGTAACGGTGGCAAAGAGTAGGCAGACGATAGCAAGCAAACAGAGTCTGCGTGTAGACTCCATGCTGCCGCGTTTGCGTCTGCACACTGTCACACCCTCGCACGAATTTCTTCCTCACTGGACAAAACGCGGCAACAGTGGGCCCGAGACCACAACCAGCTTGAGTGTGTTCGCTGCGGTCCTCTCGAGAGGCCGTGTTGTGCGGCTTGACGCCTTTCCACACTGCTGGGCCGGTTCGTGGCTGCGCACACGACCCCCCTGGGCGCTCAGCCAATGAAATACTTGCGTACCGCTACGCGTTCGTGCGCAAAAGCAGGTCACGGACGCACGTGCGCGCCGAAATTAGGGCGCTCGTGTTTTACCCAGGGACGCAGCAATCGACCAAATACAATGTGGTTGCCAGCATCATTGGCAGGCTATAGTGATCGAGCCGGTTTAGCTAATTGACAGAGAAGTGCTAGAATTCTATCAAACTAATACGAGGACGAGAACGCAAGTATTGGCAATGATATAAAGCTCTAAATTGAGCGTTTGTATCAATCAAATCTTCAGCTGATTTTGCCTTATTAACTAAAGCGAGGTTAAAAAATCAACTGCTGTTTATTCTAGTTTAGATATGATCTTACCCCCTGCTACCTAATTGTGCTGTTATCGTATTGGTGACCTAGAGATTTTCAGCATCTAAATTCCCCACCTGAAGTGGTTTTCAAATAGGAATCATTCAACCGATCGATTCCTTTAAGTATTCGTGAGAAAAATCTGCGTGCTCAAGAGGGAATCAACTATCACCTGTTTTTTGGTGGAAATCACATCAGTTTAAGCTCTGCGAATCGCTGAAATTAGAGATACACTAGAATCGGCATAGTTGTTAGTGTTTCGTTGTCCTTAAAAATACGAGAAGGGTCAAATTGTGAGGTCTGCAAATTAACTGAGTCCTACAGAGATCCTTTTGTAGGTTCAAAGCTAATAAAATCCACTTTTAGCACTCTAATTCCTCAAATGCCGTTAACAAATGAAATTGTGCTCTTTTGACGAATGACCGTATTCTGATTGCCCTACTTTTTGTTTATTGGTGGATGAAAGCTTGCTATTAAGAACATCGACCAGCTATTCGCAGGCGTCAAGGGCGCATTCTGGTGGCACACGGCATCACAGCGCGCAAGCGCGCCCTGTGGTGGTTAGGTGTGAGTGGGGCCGTCAAACGGCGAGTTGGTCCACCTCTTGTCTGTGTGCGCTGGATCAGCAGCAACTGCAGTAGGGAATCGGAAGGGGATTTCCTACGCCCGACAGCATCATGGCGGCTGAACCGTCTTGCCCAAGTAAGGCGGTGGTCAGCAGCCGAGAAGAACATTCTGGTAGACGCATGAAGTCACCAACAGGGAGATTTATGCTACACAGTCGCTTTATCGTCGTCCTTGCGCTGGTTTTTGCCTTCGCCTTCCTTCAGCCTGCGGTTCTCGTCGCAGCACAACGTAAGTTAAAGCACTTCTACAGAGTATGCATAATCAGTCACTATTCTTCAACCAGGAATCCAGTGGTGGAGAGATGACTATCTGAAAACCCTTAATAACACAACGTTCAAATTGGCTGAAGGCTCATTCATGTTTAAGCTATGCCACCATTAAAGGTTAACTTAGTCGGCTCTGCAGCATTAAAATGACGGGTTACCACAATAATACGAGTTAAGGAGTGTGCGTTTGTTTGCTTTTTTGGTGAGCGTCTCAGTAGAGAGGAAATATCACTGAATGCAATGCGAAGCTTTTGGGGTCGTGTTGCGCCTTGTCTTGTCTCAAATCGCGTTTAATTGCCCTCGTTCAGTTTGTAGGCCCTTTTCCCTTTAAGGCAGCATTGTCAATTTTAGGATAAGATGCACAACGGTCAAATGGAAAGACGTAAAATTGATTGACCAGGTTGAAAGTGAACTGTATAATGGGCATTGTGGACACGAGTAGTTCCTCTAGAAGGACAGTGACTATGACAAGTAGTAGAATTAACGCATTTCATAAAACGGCACAAGTATGCCGTCATACGTTCATACTTTTGACGTTGCATAAGCCACAATTTTAGGTTTTACATTTCCTTGACGGGAGGGGGTTATTTATAAAATTATTGCTCTACTAAATGGATATTCTGGATTAAGAGTGTGTCATTACGAACTCGTTTAGGAATAGGCAGGCCCCATGCTAAGTTTATTAATACATAAGTACACGGTCTTAATTTTTAGTTCGGTGTACAGGTATTAGAATCTTGAATTAAGGCTAAAAACGATAGCTGCACGAAATGGCCCATGATATGCACTGGTCCCTTTTGCACACTTTGACCGATTTCGGACGAAACCTCTGTCCAACTTAACTTATTTAAGCTTTATGTGCAGGGTGTACCCCGAGGATAAGGAGAAGGCTCCTTGTGAGGAACACACACCGCGAAAGTCTCATCTCAAACGCTATTTCATTTCATGTCTACTCCTTACTATCTATTGCGGTCGATAAAGCGAAACCCATGCTACCTAATCGTGTTGGGGGAAGAAGTTTAAAGAGACTAGGACCAGTCCTCGGATTTATCAAAATGCTAATCGTGAGCCAAGTGAATGTCAAAATTAACGCAAATTCGAATCTAGCCTCTCTCGTTTTGCCCGAGCAACAGTCGGATGACCTAGTTGATTGCTGTGCGGAAAGACTCAAAAGACACGGGGTTACGTCAATAGTGTTTGGAAATTTGTGTGCTTAAGTTTTGTCTTCCGCTCAAGGAGCTGGTTTTGCCTTGAACGCGGTCCTTTTCCATCTCTTCTAATCACTAGTTAAAATTATTGGAAGCATTATGGCCATATTTGACACAACGGCCCTGAGAAAGAACACGACGACAAGGGACAGTGGGTACTAGACCGGTTTGTGCGGCCTCGGAACGCTGCCCTGTTGACCGTACTGATTCGTGGGTTTTTATAGGAAGGAGGCGAGATGAGTAGAAAGTCAGTGCTGATGGTGCGCGAACGATGGGAGTTAGTAGGGGGTCAGGTTTGGGATGTCTTTATGGGGACCTTGCAATCACACATTGATGATCAACCAAGGGGTCAGCATCACGCATGTGCAGTATTGGTAGGTGTTAATAATCAAGATTCATCATGGAAACATTAACAATGACATATTCCTCACATAGCATGATCACAAATTTCGATTCCATGAAATGGTCGGAGGCACACCCCCTGTTCTCTTACCCGTCTACGAAATCGTGAAACATTTCTTTTACAGGGCAGGGTCGGACCTGTAAGTTGGAGGATGGTAGGGTGTTGCAACCGGGAGAGGTTATGCAACAAGCCCGTGCCTGTATGGTGTGTGTGTGCGACGGTGACTCTGGCGAGGTTGTCTGTTCACGTCAGACCTGTCCGGCTCTGGATTGCGGTCCCGAGGGCGTTGAACCAGCCCAGCCCAGCGAGTGCTGTCCCAAGTGTCGGCGTAAGTCTGCCTGATCTCGCCCCTACTACCTCTTGCTCTGAGACTTGCTAATTAACATCTGAAATCCTCTTGAAACTTCAGGTTTATCCACCCTCTTCCGATTACTTCTATGCACCCTTCTGGTAACTCATGCTACATCTACCAGCACACTACTCACACCCATACTACTATCAACTGAGAGCAGTATAAATGTTCCACGCAATTTCTTGATTCCTTTAAGGGCCTATGTTTTCTAAACGAGATCCAAGGACTTCATTGTTCCCGCCTTGTGCCCACCCACTTTTAATTATTTTTCCTTCCCTCGGGTCTCGTTTCGATAGATTTGTTACCTCAGTTTAACGCCTGTTATCGATTCAGTTTCTTTCTTCTTCTTCTTCTTCCTCTTCTCCTTCTCCTACATTTTGGGATATAAAACCGCTACAGCGAATTTTGATAACCACTTTATTATTCCAGGTGCAAAGAGAAGGGCAAGTTTGCATTTCGATGCATGTTATGCATGCAAACGAACAGTTGAACGGGGTTTGCGGCTCATTGCACGAAATTATGCAGACAATAAATGTCTATTACACTAGCTAAATTACCATTGGACGATCGTTCCTGGTGTAACCATTTTGGCCCAAGAGGCAAAATTATTTTTAAAAAGTCTGATTCCCATCCAACAGTGCACTGATAAGAGTTTGACAAGAGCCTGGAAAGCTACGGATAGATTCCACATTACTTAATCGAAGCCTGAACCTACGCTAACAATCTGCTCTGGTTCTGCCTTTAAAAATCTGTTTCGAGTTAAAAATCACTTTTGGTATTGATGCAAATAGCGAATTCAGCCTCGAAAACCAATGAACTCGGAACTACGGACTAGGTGCTGTTCTGCGTCATTTCCAGTCACTGCATGCAAAATTATCCGGAATGTGTGCATTTGGTGAGTTGTTGTTTGAATCGAAGGACTTAAGCATGTCTTAACTTTTGGTCCTATAGGTGCGTGAGACTCCACCCAGCACTCTTCGTTACTACACAAGCGAGATTCCAACAACGGAAACGACCTCGACAACCACAACGCGTCGCCCAACGACAACCACTACAACCACAACTCCTCGACCCACGCAACCGCCGATCATGGGAGCGATGGGTCTCCCCGGACCGCCGGGACCCCCTGGACCGCCTGGTCCTCCGGGAGACCCCGGGTTGGACGGCGAACACGGTGTTCCCGGTCCTCCCGGACCTCGTGGACCGGTAGGCTCCACCTTTCTGAATATACCAGATTGTCATTTAAATGAAACGTTTTGCATGTTTGGCCGCAGCCATGCCATGTCTGCGTTTGACCGGCAGTGCGTCTAGTGTCAATGTAACTTACACGTGATGGTAAATGACATAAGCTTCTGCGCTGAGCGTAGGCAGAAGAAATGGTGCTGCCTATGGAAATACCAACGCTCAAACCCACAAATCTTGAAATCATGGGTGGTCGTGCAAAAAAGGTTTTGTTAGACTTAATCTTTGGAGTTCCAATTTACAAAGAAAGATTCCCCAAGTCTATCAAACACGAAACAAGAGTTCCTTCATGCCAACAGTGTCTATTGTTCACTTGATTTCACCTCTATACTTCAGCCTCCACCTGAACTTGAACATTACCTCAAGCGGCAGAGAGCTATGACCAAAGGTCCTGAAGCCAGGGAAGTCGACGCCTATCAGGAACTCCAGCTCACGTCTGTGCGTGGTGTTTCTAAAGATAACGAAAAAATCGTTTATCTGAGCATTGAAGGTTACGTTTTTTCTCTTTAAAGGGACCTCCAGGAGAAGCTGGTTTCCAAGGTCCTCCCGGGCCTATTGGAATCGTCGGGCCTGCAGGTCCGTTAGGTCCGGTCGGAGATGTTGGTCTGCCAGGTCCGATGGGAGCGCGAGGTCCTCCTGGACCGATGGGTGAATTCGGACCTGAGGGTGAACCTGGTCGACACGGTGCGAAGGGACCACGCGGCCTCATGGGTCCCATGGGGTTGTCCGGCGACCCAGGTCCCAAAGGACCCACCGGGATGCGTGGCGAGGTGGGCGAACAGGGCAACCCTGGTCCGAAGGGAAAGGCCGGCGATCAAGGACGAAAAGGCCCCGCTGGACTTATGGGGCCTAAAGGAGCTGTTGGCTTGCGCGGGCCAATTGGTAAACCTGGACCTCGTGGTGTTCCTGGACCTCAGGGGCCAAGAGTAAGTGAGAGAAATGTCTTTTCGAAATTGGCATGTCCTTCCTGTGAAATTTCATTTATGGAACTCGAGAATGTGCTTCATTACTTCATTTTTCAATTCACACAGGGTGTGGACGGCCCAACGGGAGCTCAAGGCCCCACAGGTGAACGCGGTGAACAAGGTCCAATGGGTCCGATGGGCTTCCAGGGAGCCGAAGGACCCAAGGGTTCTCCAGGTCCAATCGGCCCGAAGGGTGAGCCCGGCTTCCAAGGTCCGCCCGGAGCTCGTGGTCTTCCAGGTCTTACAGGACCACCTGGAAAGCAGGGTAAAATGGGACCACCTGGTATTCGAGGTGTGAAGGGCGAAATCGGCTCCCGCGGCCGCATGGGACGCCTCGGTTCTATGGGCCCCCGTGGCTTCACAGGAGGCGATGGTGACGAAGGACCTCCTGGAGCAAAGGGTCCTGAAGGTGCTCAAGGATTGCAGGGGTCACAAGGTCAACCTGGTCCTGAAGGCTCCAAGGGACCTTCTGGTGAACAAGGTCCCCCGGGACCCCAGGGCCCTGCCGGTAAACGTGGACCACGAGGAGACGTTGGCCCAATGGGGCCAAAAGGCTTCACCGGTTCCCGCGGGTTGCCAGGGTCCAGAGGCCCTCCTGGTCCAGAAGGCCCAGCTGGTCCTGCTGGAATGGTTGGCGATGCCGGACCGGTTGGACCCGTTGGACAGAAGGGGCACATGGGTGATCCCGGCCCTGCTGGCCCACGAGGCCAAACTGGCTTCAGAGTTAGTCTAATCCTCCCTCGTTATGAAAGATCACTTTCAGTTAATGGTTACGGTATCGCTTACACTATGCCCTATTTTAGGGTCCGCGTGGAAGACGTGGTGCCGAGGGTCCAACTGGCGAACCTGGACAAAAGGTGAGTTCGAGTGCAGTTATTCCAAAATATTGTTACTTGCAGATGGTGACACGTACCATACTTTACTCTCCTATTCCAGTTATATAAAATAACTACTTATTTAAATCTGCACATGAAATTCCACATAAGTCACGGTAACCGGGGCAGTCAAAACGACAGAGTTTAGTGATTTTGAGATCATAATTTTTTTTAACTTGAACGTACGTAAAGCAATATTAGTTCAGAGTGCTCAAATTACTGACTGTGTGTTTTATTATGTTTGGAGGCTCTATGAAAAGCAGACAAGCATAAAAGTCAGTTTTACAAGAATTGACCATCTTTGTGACAAATTGATGAATAGCCGTAGGTTTTTCACAAACAACCCAGTCATTTGTTTGGGAAGTGCACGTCAGGTCAGTCACGCCTAACGGTGCTGTGAAACATTATCATTAATTCTTGAAAGGGGCCAAGCTTTTGCAAATTTCGTCTTGTGTACTAGGAGAGAAAGCGATTTCGACAGTCTAGTTGTTTTAAAAGTTACAAACAAACTTTGGTGTTCCAGATTTCAGGAGACTGCACAAACGTATTGATTCAAATTGGTGAATGAGAGTGGCTGTCGTGCCTCTTTCTAATGCCTGATCGACGGCGTATTAGGCTCTCGGGTTACCTGGTTGGCAAAATGCTTCTACAATGAACACGCGTTTTTCAGTTGTCGTCCCTGTTATTCATAGGACACGATGTTCTAGGGGAAACGGGAAATCTAAAATGCAAATTTCCAACTAGCACTAACACCAGTAAGATACGTTCGCATTAACTGCCTCCACTAACAGTGGTTGCCCATCCAATAATCAATCGTTCGACAATCAAACTAACAACCCTGCTTACTTCTAACTCATCATGGAATAAATTATGTTGAGCGATCAGTTTCTTTGTAAATCCTTGGCTTTCGGCAAGTTTGTAGTGATTTGTGGTCTAAGCACTATCTTACAACCCTCTAGTTAACAGCCCGAAACAACCCGAAGAGAGTGGAGAAAGAGGCGACAGTGAACACGACCGTTTATTAGCGTCACGCCCGCCAAGTGTCTTGGTGTATGTATGAGTGTGTTGAAGACCTCATACCACGAGAGTAACCCGGGAAGACAATAAGTCCAGAGGTGGTGGGCACGATCGTTTACTAGGTAGTTCAACAAAGTTGTGTCCGTGTCCTTTTACAGTTGAGTGGACATGTAAAAATGAACACAGGCGTTTGTGAGGTCACATGGCCAGAGCGGGAGGTGGTGGTGGTATATTCAGAGGGATTAATGAACCTGCGGTCTCACGTGAAAAAGGGGGAAGTGTGCTGGAAGCTGCGAGGACAGGGTTATTGGACGTGAATCAACACGATTAACTGCAAGTGAATAGGTGACAGGCTTCTGCTACAGTAACCAATGCAAAGGGATGAGTCCTTGTCACCGTCAGGTCGGTAACCAGGGTTCACTCAGGCGCGATCGCTGTTAATCCACTACAAGTTCCAGGAGCTACTATTTATAAATTAAATATGTTAAAAGTAGTGGCGATATTTTGTCTTTATCGTCATTTTTAACAATTAGGCAAAGAAAATCGTGTGTTAGGTAAATTTACATGGGCTAAAACTACATGCTCATTTGTTATTAATTATTCTAGCCACTACTGTTACTGCTGGAAAAAATTATGACGAACGCAAAAATGTGAACTAATTAGACAATGGAAATGCTTGATATTTTGGTCAATTAAAGATCAGACTATAGCAATTAGTCTTTGTGGCAACCTTTTTGAATCCACGAATCGTTTGTATCCTGGTATCAGAAGCCCTTCAACTGACGACTTCCTTTTTGGTCGGAATATTGTCTAGTCAATTTAGGCAGGAAATTCAGACATGGCGGTGCTCAAAGTTTGTTTGCTTAATTATTGCGTTCACAATTCATTCATTCATTGACAAGCAGCTGATGTCTGCTTCTGCTTCACTCCTTTCGATCTTCTCCGCAATGTCGATTTTTATGGAAACAACATCAAAACCTCCTTGAGACGTTTGACCATGAACGCATTGTATGCATGTTTTCAACAAACGCAATCAAGTCCAGCAGGATATTAACCTAATTCTTTGGTGTTTCGGTTCCGAAGACTCCATTAAGGCTCTTCATATACTTGTACCTGTCCTCATTCCACCTACTTAGAGATAGAGGATTTATCCATCTCTAAAAAGGCAACCTGTTTGTGCTTGGACATTTTTGCAACTTCTGCCCTAGTATTTTCATTGTGTTTCACTGTGTGTATTTTTCAAGTTGGACACGAGGTCGGGTTGTAGACGCCATCTTTTCTCCCTTTAAGGGCCCACCCGGTCCGTCAGGCAAGCCAGGCGCGGGTGGTCCACAAGGTCTCCAGGGCCCAGTCGGTCCTCAGGGGGCACAGGGTGCGCGGGGTCCCCCAGGCCCCATGGGCAAAACCGGCGAGGTCGGCCCCGTCGGTCAGCGTGGACAGCAGGGCGACCGTGGCGCCCGCGGTGAACCGGGACCCGCTGGACCCCACGGACCTCCGGGGGCCCAGGGCGCTCGCGGTCCAAGTGGCAAACGCGGTCCCATGGGACCCGAAGGACGCGCTGGCCAGGAAGGACCAGAAGGACCGGCTGGCAAACAAGGCGATCCAGGTGCGCCTGGTGAGGCCGGAGACGTCGGACCGAGAGGATCCGCTGTAGGTTGACTCATTCGATGTGTCAAGTTATGTCCACAGCGGAGTTAAAACTCACGAATAAACAAAAACATTACTTACACGTACCGCCAACCCAACTCCCAAAAAATTTTTGCATCTATGTGATCAGAATGCATTTTAATTTACTAATAATGCACTTTAACAAAATACTCATAATTTGCATCCGTTTGTTTTATGAGATCAGCCTTAGTTAATTAAAGCTTCACACAAAAAACCAGTTCTCTGAAGATTGCAATTTCTGGATTGTCTCCAGACAGTGCTTAGGAGTTTAAGACTCCTTTAACCCAACTCATGCATCGGTGCCTTTTTTTGAAGCATGCAGGCATGTGGACAGCATGGTATATCAATCGCCGTTTTGAAACCAGGTCGTATAATCTCGGCACAATCTGCGCAATTTAGTTCCACGCTAAACAAATTAAAAATGAGTGAATCACCTCGCCGATCAGAACCTTTGCAATGCTTTATTGTTCGCAGCCGAACAAAATAACTTTTGGTGAAGGTTTGCTTGGCATCCTCTAACATGACCTCGTCGGCACAGCAGTTGTTTTTCCGAATTTAAACTTTATGTGAGGCCTTGAAACAAACCACAATCGTAAATCACAAACCTAATTCCGCTAGGTATACGATAGTAACCTTCCAGGCATGAATTTAATTTAACTGATCTATTCAAATTACGTCTGTAGCCTTTCTTGAAAGCAGCTAAATCTAGTTCTGTAATGATTAATGTATGATTGCGTGAAATACTGTGCTTGGGCAAAGTTGACTCAAGTAAATTAGACTATCTAACTGCTCAATCGTGAATTCCGCTGAATGGTTTACATGGCATTTGAACCACTTTTGGCCTTTTTTACCTTATTTTTCGTTATACCTAAGAAAGATAAATCAATTTTTGTAGGGAGAGCGCGGAGCACCGGGTCCGATGGGCGCTGTTGGTCCGCCCGGTCCACGGGGTGAACGCGGTCCTTCAGGCGACACTGGGCCTGACGGTCCTCAGGGCGAACGCGGCGAAAAAGGCGCCACGGGTGAAGTGGGTGCCATTGGTGTTGCTGGACCTCCTGGCAACGCTGGTTACGTTGGTCCGCGTGGACCCAAGGGCCCAATTGGTCCAGTTGGTCCCCGAGGTGATCCTGGACCCCGTGGCCCAGCAGGCGAACGAGGAGACGACGGGCCTGTGGGACCTCAAGGACCCCAAGGCCGTCCAGGACATAAAGGTTTTCCCGGAGGCGTTGGTGCTCCTGGAGACGAGGGTCTTCAGGGTGACCAGGGCGAGCAGGGTCCAATCGGAGAAGTCGGACCACCTGGACCTTCTGGTCCTCCCGGTGAAGTTGGACCCAAGGGTGTTAAGGGAGAAAGAGGACGTCGAGGTCGACGTGGAGCGATCGGTGACACAGGTCCGGTTGGCCCCACTGGCCGTCCTGGTGCAAAGGGTCTCCAGGGCATACAGGGCCGTGAAGGAGATCGTGGGTTGTCTGGTGAAATCGGTGACATCGGTGAACCCGGTCCAATGGGTGAAACTGGTCCTCAGGGCGCAACTGGTGAACCCGGACCAGTTGGACTGCCTGGGCCTCCAGGACCACAGGGTCCAAAGGGTGACGCTGGTGACCCCGGTCCAGTCGGTCCACCTGGCATTGACGGCGAGCCTGGAGATGATGGTCCCGAAGGCCCGAGAGGAATGCGTGGAGAAACGGGTCCCACTGTTAGTTTTGTTTTAACATCACTATCTTCCGAATCAGCACTGTGTTTTAATGTTGCCTTTTTGCTTTCCTAGGGCAATGTCGGACCTATCGGACCGAGGGGACTTACAGGTCCACAGGGAAGAACGGGCCCTATTGGTCCAGCCGGACCTCCTGGTGAACCCGGAAAGATGGGCCCTCCCGTGAGTTTTGCATTTCTGCACACTGTGACTGAACGTTTTGCACAACGCATAGAATTGAAACCTAACTTGTAATTTATGCTTCTCCGTAGGGTTCAGAGGGTCCACGCGGCCCACGTGGTCGCCAGGGTCCGACCGGACCCGCCGGAAAGACTGGTCCCCAGGGGCCCACAGGACCTCGAGGTGACGTTGGTCCCGCTGGCGTCGATGGAGAACGCGGCATTCAGGGTCCCTCAGGTCCTCAGGGACCTTCTGGTCCCCCTGGTGAAGTAGGACCTCAGGGCTCCATGGGAATGCCAGGCGATGCGGGCCCTCGAGGTCCACGGGGACCAACTGGCCCCAAGGGGGAGCCAGGTCCCGCGGGCAGACGCGGAGACCCCGGTTTTCCTGGGGTCAGAGGTGAGCCCGGTGAGTCGGGTGAGACCGGCGACCCTGGACCCAAAGGCGTCCGTGGTGACCCCGGACCCCCTGGTGACACCGGTCCCGCCGGAAACGAAGGAATGATGGGCCCACCTGGAGAGCCTGGTCCCATGGGCTTGCCTGGAAGGGAAGGCTCCGTTGGAGCTCAAGGACCTCAAGTAAGTGGTCTTTGCCGATGCCAGGCAATTTTAGAAGCATTCGCTCCCTTTGCGCTGCTGTTAAATCTGAAGGGTGGATGTTTGTCGCATTTGCCTATCAATTTACCCTGTGATCTTCATTTTTTGTGATAATTATTTTTTTTAAAATGTGCTTAACAGTTAATCATTTATCTAACCAATGAGCTGTTCGTTCACCGTCTCAAGTTCCCCCACACTCTCATTCTAAAGAAATTAAAGCAGCATCCACAGTCCCATAAACTCTCACAACTAGTTTGCACAGAGTTGCTAATATCGATTTACTTTTCACTTTGAGGGACCCGCTGGTCCGCGAGGAGACACCGGACCCAAGGGCGCTGCTGGACCCGTCGGACCGCCTGGACAACAGGTGAATTTACCAAGCTTCTATGTCTATCAGCATGTGAAATCCTGTATTTCGAATCATCTAGCATAGGGTTCGCAAGATTTCCAGCAACTTCAAAACGTTCAACGCTGTGTCGGGGTTTTCATTAGCGGGTAGTCCATGTGCAACTCTTGACTGCTACCTCATGGTAGTAAAAGTGATCTAAGAAATCCTTCCATTTCAAAAAGACCGGTGAACGGCGCCTTTATTAGAGAGGTGTTGTTCAGGTCAACCATTATAACAGACCCACTTTCGTACTGCCCCCTCTTAAAAAAGCTCACTTTTTTTTTCCACTTCCCAACTTTTTTGTCATCCTTATGCAGGGTCCTGCTGGTCCTGTCGGTTTGCGCGGCGAGGAAGGCGCTCCGGGTGAGGATGGCCCGGTTGGTCCTCAGGTAAAACCATTTTCGATTATTGCCTACTAACATAAATAAGTAGCCGTAAATAATTCGCGTTTATTGGTAGGGTCCTCCGGGTCCACCAGGTGAATTCGACACGACTTTCCAGGGAATCTTCAGGCGCCCAGACAACAGCGACTACCTATCGGCAAGTATCACGTCAAGCCATTACCCTAGTTCCGACAATGTTGACTAAACTGTTATGTTTTTTCAGGGCTCCGATGGCTACTCATCCGACAGCAGCATGCCATTTGAGGACAGGATGCAGGGAGATGCACCTGATCCTGAGAAACGCAGCAAAGTACGTTTTATTTTAAACAAAAACAAAATTTCGCCGACTAGTGTTGCATGTGTTATTCTTAAAATTCCCTGGAAGCTAAGTTTCTTTGCCTAAACGTTGTTCAGCCATAGCTTTCAATTAAATTTGTAATTTTGTTACTGAAAGTTGAACTTGTAACTTCAGCTTACACTGATTCATGGCAAAAATTATCCCGACACCAACTGAGTCTGGTGTCGTGGGCATAAATCGGTTCATAAATGCACCAATTTTCAACATCCACTTAATGAAATGACAACCCATGTTAGCTGGGTGTCAAAAACATGCAGTTTCATATTTAGGCATTAAAGTCCATCCGAGTCTGATGCTCGCACATATCTGGTCTTCTCTTTAAGTACGTTGTCTCAAGTTACTTTTGTCTGACTGTTGTTGAAATAGCATCCGTACTTGATCTGCATGGTCAGTTGGCTGCTTCAGTTTAGAAATTTTGGATTTGTAATTATTCCACGAATGGCACTTTGTATCCGTTAATCGGGCTTAAATGAACCGCGTCATATCTTGTCGGACTTCATTTGAAGGCTATCGTGTAAGTCAAGAGCGCGTCAAACAAGTTTTCCGCAATCCACCAATTAGATTCGGCCATGCGAGAACGTCGACCTTGACGCATGGAGGAGCGAATCCACAGGTAACGGCAAAATCGACTGAAAAGCCATTAGCCCGTGCTAATTCTGACTCAGACATTGTCACTAAACCTCGTTGTCGTTTTGCCGAACCGGCTGCTCACCAAGACAACCGTCCAGGTCGAGATCGACAGGTTTCACATAAAACCGTGGACAAAGACCTTTTCTATGGTTCAACAGAACTACGTTTGACCACGCATTCCCTCGAAAGTACTGTGTTCAAGGTGCACTTGTAGTACCAAATTGGCCTGTGCTTCCCCTTTTAGAACGTTGACGCCTTTACGGCTCTGACAAGCGTGTCCAACCTCATAGATCGTCTGTACAAAGCCACTGGCAATCAACGCTTTCCTGCTCAGAGCTGCGCCGACCTTCATCTGCATTTGCCCGACTCCCAGGATGGTGAGTTGATTGGCCATTGTTCCCAATGCTGAGCCCGTCGAATGTGTGCCAGGACACGTGATCCTAGTTTTTCAGGCTAAAATTCCGATGCCGATTGCTAGTCCGAGCTCTGCCAAAAATGTTGGACAGTGTTCGCATTGCTTCATTGCCTACGTTTATGCGTCCATGGATCCGCCAATATTGGGTGTTTATTGCGCGAAAGGTCTTTCAAATGCTCTAATTTTTTTACCACAAAAGTTTTTGATACCACATGATTAAAACCGAAGCAAGTTTCTTGCGTCTTTCTGGTTTATCTTTGGAGAAATCAAAACGGCGAATATTTCGGGACTGACAACGTTAAAAAAAATTAATTATCAAATTATCAAATTTGCTGTATGACAATCAAAACACTGGAAATTATATTAAACTTGGCGCCTTTGTGTTACTCATTTGTTGGCTAGGGTAATAATTACTCAACAAGTTGTTTGTTTCTTGAAGACTATGACAAGTACCAAGAGCGATCAAGATCACGATATACCCACGCGCCTCATCAATTCTGACCTATATCAAAGTAGTGTTTGTAAATAATTAACCTCTGAAACTTCATTATTAATCAGAATAGATCATGCCGAAACCACAGAAAAGAGAGAACGATTCGCAACATTTGACAACTTACATGTTATATCCCCTTTGTGCAAATTAAACAGCGTTCAACACGGTCACCGCTCGTTTAGTGGGCAAATTACACTCGGCATTAAATAAGAATCAAAATTAATGCAATGGAGGAATCAGGACTAACGCATACTTGCGGCGGTGTTGTCTTGCCACACAGAGATAAATTCCTGCCTTTCTTAGTCGAGCTAATGCTGATAGTTCAAAATCTTCGTCCCTGATTTGCATTTACGGCAACATCCGGCAGACTGCCATTGCTTGGCCTTCAAATGCACTAGGACTCCCTGGACATGATCTTGTCGGTAGAAATCACCTCCAAGACCGTTGAAGCGTTTCGTGGTGTCTTGCTTACAGGACCCCGATTCACCTTCCTTTGCATTAATGCAGTACTCCGTAGACTTTTTTTTACTGCGAGAGCGCTCCATAAGAGGAAATGCCTTAATCCCCCCCACCAATGAAATATCGAAGAGTGGTGGTACTAGATGAAGTGAAGCCTCGTATCTTCACTTTTATGCAAAGCACTCAACCAGTGGGATGACGCCACTCCATCAACCTGTCATGACACGCACACACACGGCTGCTGATTTTAACTATTTGTGCACATCAGGTGAATTCTACATTGACCCTAATGGTGGTCACTGGCGCGACTCCTTCCCTGTGCATTGTCAGATCAGCAGTCTAACAACGGTCATCCAGCCTTCCATGAAGCACGCACAGCCAGTCGGTCTACCCCAAGGTGCCTATCAGGACGGAACCTTCTGGTATTCTAATCAAGCCTTCAAATCCGATGACGCGGTGAGCATCGTTTTTCGCCATTTCGGCTTTAGTCTATCAAAACTTTGTCAACACCTGGTTGTCTCTAGCGGGGGCTTGTACACGATTCAATTTACTGATTCATTATGATGTAGAAGCCCCGGCATGTCTCACATTGGAGCGTGGTCACAAAACGTGGGTGATACTCAGGGGATGTTCAAGAAGACTGGGAACGACTTAGAGAATCATTTACTGGATGGTCTGAGTCACTTGTTGTGTGCAAACTCAACGTCGGGATGATGCGTACAAAGGTGACCGATTAATCAATGGGGAGACAAAGTGACAGTACTGGTAACCCTTAACTTAAGCCATGTCTAAAGTTCCAACACCTCACACCTCAATCGAGTCTCGCACTGTGAGTTGTAGTGTGCTTCATTGGCTTAAACCACTCGTGAACTTCAGAGGTGCCTGTGCGCTTTTATTCAAAATCTATTGCTAATTAGAGACAGAACATTTCGCATCGACTTTCACTTTCACTTGCTTTCCTCCATTTAAACAAAGTTCAAATGCATGCCTGCAGTGACTTGTCAACAATTATACGTGGGAAAATGAGGCCCAAGCCCTGGTAATGTGCGTAGATGCTCTGACGTTCCATCGGCTTACGAAGCACAAAGTGCTTCCTAACGGTTTCCTAACATGTCTGGATGGTAAATGACTTGTTTTCTTAATGCTTAACCTAAGACCAACTTTCCTTTCGAATGGAGTGGATGGGCCTGCAGTGAAATTTCGTAACTAAATCTTTGACTGTAAGTATCGAGCCACCAGAGTAGAAATTGTTTAGAGGCAATTTACTGTTAGGAACTCCCCTGTCCACGAAAACTTCACCCATTTCCTCCGTAAGAGTTTCGTACTTCAAGTGGCCTCTGATTTTGGCGTTTACACTTTTCGTCTTTCCATTCGGCACTCTATAACCCTGAGTCTGCGAACGGAATGTCACCACTGCTGTTGGTTGCCCCCGTGGCTAAATTTGCGAACAATCCCGTAAAGGCTCCTGTCAAGAGCTCGCATTAAATCAACGTCATTTTTGTTTGTAAAATTCTTCGCACGACATACACTCGATGATTTACGGCCACTGAGAGAATTTTTCGCTGATTGTGAGAATGTTTAAAATAAACCAGTCAGAAACCCATATTAACGGGATCACTCATAGTCTATCGTGTATTCCAGGGTGTGCTTTCTTGTAGGTTTTATCGTTTAATTGGTATTTCTTTCAGGAGTTTTCTTACCAAATCACAAAGGATCAACTTGCACACCTCCAACTCTCGAGTGAAACGGCGACACAGAAGGTGGTCATCAGCTGTCGTTACTACGACCCCAGTAATAACGTCGTTCTGCTAGGCGACAACAACCAACCCATCAACCTCAACTCAACGGATTCCATTCTCGTCGTGATTGACGTCTTGGAGAATTCATGTTCGGTAATGCGGTAGTTCCTTGATGTTGCTAATGCTCCCGGCGTGTGGTACCAAACCACGCCGGGGCCTCTGTGTAAAAATTAGCCCATTAACCCCACTCAGGTAATAGAGAAGACAAAGACAACCATTTAATCGATCGGTTAACCAAGTTGCGACCGTCGCGCCACTGCGCAAAAAAATCATGTCTGAATAACTGGGGTTGTTGATCAAAACAGTCTGGGTGAGCCTGTAAAAGTACAAATGGCCGAACGGTCGGGTGAATGAAAAAGGGTCGCGTCGGCGAGGTACAGGCACAGAAGGGTGTGAGCAGACGGTTTCGCAAGATCGATATGGGCGCTGTGAAAGGGAGGTCAGTGTCGAGACGAATGCAGCAACCGGTGATGACGCAGCATTGTTTGTCTTGAAGACGAGATACAGGAATCGAAAACCTTGCCCGACACTGGACACGATCCACCGGGCTTTAAGTATTGCAATTCGCTTTCGTATTGGCTGTCAGAAGCCAACCAATCCCAGGCTGGACATGGCGTCATAATATTTTACCCCCTGTGGCCCAGAATTCCGACCACCCACATCGCCAACCACTACATCAAGCTTCTAGATAGCGGTTGTAAGCATTAGGTGTCTGGAATAATAAACCCTTACGATATCAAGTCGACGAAAAAGAAGACAAGTAGTTCGACCAATTTATCGATGTCGTAATAGCATGGTCGTGCAAAATAATAAGTCGTCGTCGGTTTATGTAGAAACGGTTAATATCA